GGGGCATTAACATGAAATGTTTTTAAAAAATTTGGAATTTTTGTTTGTCTTTTTAAACTAACGATAGTTCATAGAATTGTCCTGTGATTTTTTTTTTGTGAAATTCCAAATTTTACCCCTCCCCCAAAACATTTAAAGTCCAACTTACCAGGAATTTAAATGCCTGCTCGAGGGAGCCACGCCTTCTACAACATAATCTTTTTTTCTGTTTTGGAATGATTTGGCTATTTATAATTAGCGGGTTTTGTGTTGTATGTTGGCCAGACTGGTGGGTTGCCTGTCTGGAAAAGAAATGAAGGCTATTTCCGCATTATTTACAAATATATCCCTCCTTTGTTGCGGTTCTTCAAAAATTTCTTTGTGAAAGTTGTATTATCTTTCTTTCAAAATGCCACGTGGTGAATCTCGGTCTAAAGACAGAAATTCTATGGTAATATACCGAATAGAAGTACCATAAATGTTTGTGATAGTGTAAACTCCGAGGAAAATAGTTTTAATATAAATATAGATGAGAATGAGGTTAGTAATGTTAGTGCCAGTTCAAGCAAATTAGAAGACATTTTTGTACCATACGAAAGTGAAAATTTGAAAACTTATCGGATTACAAGCTTGTTTCTATGGCAATAATTAAAAGTACATTAGAAAATAGTGTGTGTTCTGAATGTAAAACTGGTCAATTAAAAATCAGGGGTCATATCAGTGTCATAGAGGTTGGGCTTCAAAGTTAGTTGTATCTTGTACATCACGTGGACTGAATAAAAACTATTTTACTTCTCTCACTTCAGCAACTGGACAGTAAGAAGGTAATCTTAGATCAGTATATGCATTGCGATGTATAGGAAAGGGCCATCATGGACATGCCTCCACCAGTAGCAAATTTTCAACGTTACAATAAAACAGTTCATGATACTGTGTGAAGTAGCAGAAGACAGTAGGCAGAGGGTTTCTGCAGAATGTAAAGTTGTAAATGATGGTGAGGGTGATATTGCTGTGACTGTGGATGGTACCTGGATACGGCGTGGGTGAGGGTGATATTGCTGTGACTGTGGATGGTACCTGGATACAGCGTGGACATGTTTCCAAGTTTGGTGCTACGTCTCTGATATCAGTTGTCAATGGTAAAGTTTTTGACACAGAAGTATGCAGTAAATTTTGCCATGCATACTCTCAGCATTCTAAAGATCATAAGAAAAGCATATAATACAAGGAATGGTATGCTAAACATAAATCTAAGTGTGCAGTGAATTTTGAACGGAAAAGATGCTAGTGACATTGTGGACCACTTTGAGTTGTTTTTTAGTAGGGATTTAGTGGATCATATTGTTCACGAGACAAACAGGTATGCACAACAATACCAAAACAATAGAGGCAACTTATTTTCATTTCGTTCTTCTGTGAGATCTTGGGTTCCAGTTACAATAGATGAAATATATGTCATGTTAGGTTTATTTATGTTGATGGGAATAATACAAAAGCCTACAACCAGACTTCACTTTCGAAACGTAGGATTCCGAATACGCCTGGGTTTCGAGACGTAATTTCAAGGGACAGGTTTGAAATTATATGTAGGTTTCTACATTTCAATAATAATGAAGACAAATCAAATTACACAGGCCCTGCAAGATTGTTCAAAATTTTTCCTATACTGTCACATTTAAATTATAAATATCAAAATATCTATCTTCCTACACAAAACATTGCTATTGACGAATCTCTGACACTGTGGAAAGGAAGACTATCATTTCGACAGTGCCTCCCATTGAAGTCTTCAAAGTCTGGTATCAAAACTTTTGAACTGTGAATCTACCTCTGGATATTTATGGTGCTTCGTAGTGTATACAGGCAGACACACAGAAATCCAATCATCTTATGTTACACCCACTACACCAAAAACAACAGCAATAGTAATGAACCTGGTTGAACCACTACTTGAGAAAGGATATACTGTGTGGATGGACAATTTTTACAACAGTCCAGCTCTTGCTAAATTTCTGAAAAGCCATAAAACAGACTGTGTAGGCACTTTGAGACTAAACCGCAAGAATATTCGGACTGAAGTAAAGACAAAAAAACTGAAAAAGGGGGAGACAATTTGTCAACATTCCGGACCAGTGACAGTAATGAAATGGTGTGACAAGAGGCTTGTAACCATGATTTCAACTTACCATGACGACTCACAGACAAAAGTGACAGTAAGGGGAAAAGAAGTTGAAAAACCAAAGACTGTAGTAGACTATAACCATAACATGGGAGGGATTGACATGAAAGATCAGATGCTCCAAATGTACCTGATTGAAAGAAAAAGAATGCGAAAATGGTACCACAAATTATTTAGAAGACTTCTGAATGCTTCTGTTCTAAATTCACGTATACTTTTCAGACAAAAAACTAAGACAAACATCGAACACTTGTCCTTCAGAATATTATTAGTTGAAGGCCTGTTTGCAAAATATGCTACAGGTGAGACCAGAGTGACACAGCCTGGTAGACATGCATCAGACAACACTGTCCCCAGACTGACAGAAAGACATTTCTTGAGATGACTGACAGGCACAGGAAAAAAAGCAAGGCCTCAGCGAAGGTGTGTCGTGTGTACAAAGAATGGAAGAAAAAAGGACAGTGTATACTGGTGCAGAGAATGTGATGTGGGTCTCTGTCTGGATGACTGCTTTGAGGCTTATCATATGAAGCTCAACTTCTAAGGTAGGCCTAACTAACCAATATATTGTAACGTGTTTTGTTACTGATCCCACTTCTGACACCAGTGTAACGTGTTTCCGGTTACTGAAGACGCCGTAGAGATGGTTAATTGGTTTATTTAACAATCTACAAGTAACGGCTACAATTACTTATCACACAGTTGCGGGGTTTCACACTTTATAACCCTAATCACATTAATCTCTTAACACTGTTGCGGGGTTTCACGATTTATAACCCTATGCGCAAATCAGTTCCCTCTGTCTTCAGTATTCTACACATTTACAGTAGGGGAGCTATGTATCACTGTATCACACACTCCAAATTCCACAATCACACACGTCCGGTTCTTCTTTCCGCAACGGCTGCTATACTCCAACTGTAGTCGGCTGACTGGAGAACTGTTGATAACACACTCACTCGACTACTACTTAACTCGGCAACTGTCAAATTACAACTAACTCGCAGCCGCTGTGCAGCTCACTTATATAGCCGCAGTGCTTGCCTGTTGCGTAATGAGTGCCACGTCATCCTGTTACGTCACTGCTGTTGACTCGCGTTGCATAGCTACCAGGTTGCGGGGGCTCGGCTAACTTCGGCTCCGCTCGTGACGTCACCGCGGGGAGAGTGGCGGGGTGATGACTCGCTTATTACGCGAGCGCTACATTGCCGCCACGTGCCGCTGGGGAGGTAGGGGTCCTTCGTTTCGCAACATGTCACAATATTATTTATATATTATTGTAGACTAAATATTATTTCTAGCAGTGATGAGCAGTAGACCTGGATTTGGAGCAGTTCCTGTATCTAGGCAACAAGATTCGAACCTTTGTATCGAATGTGACTACATCCAGGGTTTTCTTCCTCAAACTGTCACCAGACGTCCCTAATTTCTGTGTATTATGCATGTTTTCTAAAACAATTTGATAGTAATACAATATATAGATTACTACAGCCGATAAGCTCAGTAAATTTTTTCCTGGATGCATCTATCAACGACTTTATGAATATCGTGGCTTCCAGACGTGTTCTAATAATGAGTCAGTGTGACCTCGGATGAATGCTCATTCCTTACTACGCATGGTTGAAAGAATGTTTGTTTATTCAGCACCAGACCATTGAGATATGATTCAACCTACACACCACTCAGAGCATGATTGAGAGAATGCTTGTTTATTCAGCACCAGAAGGTTGAGATGTGATGCAACCTGCACACTACTCNTGCAATAACCTACACACTACTCAGAAAATGACATATGATAGCTGCAGTCCGCAAATGCATTTAGAGAGACATGGATGTCCAAAGTTCTCTTACAAATAATTTACGCAAAATAAAATTTTAGGGGATTAAGATCTAAAAAAATTGAACATTTTATTTCATAACGGGAAGACAGATGTACAAAAGCGCAATCCAATCAGTATGATAATATTACACGTTCATTTTTACGCATTTTAGTGCAAATTTCATTAAAATTCGCTAATTATTAGCGGTTTTATGACAATTATAAAAACATTCTGCACTTTAGGCATTTAAAGTGAGAAAACTCCTATGTCCGTGCACTAGCTAGCCCTTTAAACGTGCCACATCAGTGAAGGGTTAACAACGGATGTAACGGCGATGACTAATACCACCAAGTGTGAAACTCGGAATAAGTGTCACGAGTTGATGAGTCGTACATCCTATGACGCAGGAGAGATACTAAGCAATCGCCTGCTAGCTTAGAAAATGGGAAACTCGATAGGGAGGAGGACCATCAAATTGTAAGCTTTGTCATGCGGTGTCCGAGGAAAACCGAGTGTATACTTAAGGTTTCTGTAAGGGCCGCGAGACTTTTTTTTTTGACAGTCAATACAAGTTATTTGAATTAGGAAATGGTCCATCCTCCAAGGGGAGCCACGGTACTGAGGCGGCCAACAACCAAAGACCGGGAGACCACAGACCTCTACAAATGTTAGGCCTCACCATGTTCGCCATTTATGCAGTCACAGCACTCTGTAAATAGAGATCTGTTTGTCTCAGCCTGGTTTTTTAACCTCTGCATAAGAGGAGGAGGTGATTGCAAGTAGACTAGAATTGTTCAGACTAATCACTTTATTCGTTAATGTCATTATGTGTTTGTATTGAGTTAATAAATGTTACTTTCTTTTGGGTTAGAGAAAGGAAAGGTGTTATGGTATGATTTGGGATGGGGCAGCACACTAGGGACCCATCCTTGAACAGGAACCCTAGACCACCCCATCCCTGGTATCATAACAGGTAACTGGTTCTCGGACGGTAAAGACGTCACCGTACATGTTCCATCTTAGAACAAAGGACCAATACAGGTCCCGAGCGCAATTGCACTACACTACGTAATACAAGTAATATGTAAAAATCAATAAAGTGAGTGTTGTAAAGGGTTTGTTACGGTTTTGTTGACCATCTGTGTTGAAGCCAAGGCCCAATTAATGGGCCATGTGATGATAGTCTCATGTTCCCCGACCGGGGTGGTGCCCAACTACTACCAAGGTGAGGCTACATCACCAACGACTACCTCCAGAATCGCTAGCAGGCAATTCACCAGCGCCCATCTTTACCCATCACTGCTGACGGCTTCGGCCACCTTTACCCAGTTGGTGGTAGCAGCTCACCTTCCCACACAGCTATCCAACTACAAGTGGCACACCACACATGGTTCCACCAGTGCGCCCGTCCCAAAAGATTAACGGCTACAGTACACTTTAAAACTTAGAGATGTCACTACAATGCAAAGAATTTGTCTTCTTGCATTGTGCTGGTAAGTACACATTTTGCTTTTCCACTTCATGTCCTTGTGGTACCAACTTTTTGAGCAAAACAGCTCGTTTAGTGGCTCTGCAGGCATTTAAAATCCCTTGACAACCTGGGTGCAGAAATCCTTCCAAACACGACCAATTATCAAGCACTGACACCGTGCAGGAATGCACAGCTCGTCACGAAGGAACAGGAAGTCTGTCTCAGTGTATCATGTCTACCCTCGAAATACTAACATTTTGATGCAAATATGTTAAGTTCAGTACAGCATATAAAGGAGAAGGTTCACAATTGACTATTTATGTGCATTAGTGGGAGATGGCATTAAAGTCAGTCTTGATGCATCATTCAACAGCATACAGGACTGGAAAGGAATGCAGGAGAAAGCAGAGGAATGTAACAGGACAAAAGCTTTATATTACACATGATGAGACTTAGAGAATATTGAGGCAAATCACTTACCAGGATATTTTTTCTTGTGCCCTTCCTCTTCACGTTGTGTCTTTTTCACATACTTGTCTCTTTCTTCAGTCTTCACTGATCTCCAGACGGTGCTGAGTCTGCAAACCATGAAAGGAAACACTTGTGAAACAAGTCACATTCAACTAGGTTGCTAGGGTTGGTGCAAGAAAATCTTTGCTGAGAATACAGAAAGAAGTGCCATGGATGATATGTGTGACGCCACTGCATTGCAGTGCAGTGAAGTGATTTGCTGCTGGCCCTCACCAGCAGAATTATCCTTAGTTTCAGCACTCGTTGTGACTCATGATCAAATCTATCCATGCCAAGGCTTCTACACATTTTGAAACAGGACCTCCTCTTCAACAGTGTTAGAATCTTCCCCTTTTATCCCACTGTTATATTCTCCTCCTTCCCCCTTTGGCCTATGTCAACCCAAGGCACTTGTAGCTAGTGAAAGTCATCATAGTGCTATACTACTGTATTATGTGTTAAATGAAACGGGCATTAATGACTTACCCAGCCCATTAGCATCCTACCGTAGGACTTTTGACCCCACCTTAGTAGACATTTCGTAACACACCGAACCTCCTATCCAATGGGTACCAAAGGCACTTTCCCCTGGGGTAAAGAGGCAGAGATGTGTGAAGCTGACCACTCACCTCCAGCTAGGGCCGAGGTCAAGAAAATGTGGATCCATACATGCACTCCCCCATACGGCTTCATGGCGTAGTGCTTAATTCGTTGGGCACAAGAACAACTTCATCTTTTACTTATATCAGGACCAAAATACATGATGTCTGCTAAAACAATGCAAACAACTACTATAATATGACCCATGCTTTGTGATACAAGCCGGCAGTTGGGTTAGTCCTAATCCTTTACAATCGTCGGCTGAATTCAATTAATTTACCTCCACTGGGACAGGATTGCTCCTGCTGGTGTTAGAGAATCAGCCAGCTGATTTCACAGGTGCTGTGCCCTTGACAATCTTTTCCTTCCATCATTATGATTATTTTGATTATAACAATCAATGTAAAGAAAAAATGTCTAGCAGAGGTACTGTATTTGTTTATATATCTGCAGAATTCATATATCAATAAAAAGATAAACTTCCGTTACATCTGAGCAATCAGTATCTTTCTTCTGCTGACACGGCTGTACAAAAATTTATATCGTCTTCAAAATTTGAGGTCCTACAAGAGCCACTAGCAAAGAAAAACTTCCTCTTCTTCCGTCTTCTACTCTTACGGCATCTCAACCATTACAGGAACAATATTGTTATCTGACATGGCAGAAAAGAAATGCACGAAAATGATGCCCAAACACACCCACTCCAAATGGGAGCAACTAATCAAATGGAAGTTTCCACAGTGTGTGCATGCTAATCTGGAAACCAGTTGCCTGCTTGAAATCAGTGACATTTCTCAGAAATTGTGGTTGCCTGTTTCCATGGCGTGCCTTGAGCCTAATACTCTGCCACGCTGAATGGGACACTGTTTGAGCATTTCAAGGGTGTCAAGAGAAGCAACCCTAGGTGGTTCTTGAAGTCATCACTGGTTCCATAATACTACCATGCAACAATCTCCTTTATGTAACCCCATTTCTACTAAGGGTAACAAGCCTTTGTGACCACCACTGACTATACGAAGCGCATTTCATCTAGTCAGACATTAGTTTAAATCTACTTTCACATATATCAAAGCAAGGATAGCTCGGTTGATATGGCGACTGGGTTGGGTGCTGGATAACCAAGGAATCAGGGTTTGCCCAACAGGATTAGAAGGCTTTCTCTTTTCTGCACATCCAGATCAGAGATAAAGACTATCACCAGAATTTTGTGCAACTTGAGATTTTCAGCCACATTAATCCCATAATAAAGTCCAGTTTACTTTAAAATCATATACGGAATTGTTCATGCATATCGCCAGCTGCCAAACATTATAAAAAACCTGAGGTAATTTTAACAGAACAGAAGGATTGCCATTTGAAATTTTGTGCACTACATTACAGAAATCAGTTCTTCAAATATTACTTGACCTAATATTATCTGCAGCATGGTAAGTCCCTTGCAAATTCTTCTCGGAATATTCAAACAAGCAACTAATATGGATTAATGGTGGATTTTCTTGCTGTTTTCAAATTTTTTGCATCTGTAACCATTTCGAAAATACGCCAATTTCTTACCACCCAAATCACTTATAATAAAGTTGTCCCTGTGTTTACTTAAGTGCTAATGTGTTGAAGACATATGGGGAGTGAAGGTATAGCTCCACCTTTGCTGACTTAGCACCAGATAGAGGTGAGTGGTGAACTTCACACATCAGCCACTTTATCTCCCAGGGAAATAGCCCCCTGGCATCCACTGGATAGGAGGCACTGCTGGGCACCAGAGCCAATCAGGAAACTTTGAAGTAGAGAAAATCTGTCACACCTGCCAGGAACTGAACCGCAGCTGTCAAGTCCTTAGCCCATCACTATATCAACTGAGCTATCCTACCTCCTTATCATTTGTAACAGCAGTGAATGTTGCTGCTTACCATATACTGATATCTTGATTTCCCTCCTTGGGCTATTACACCACCATTCATTACCAAAATTGATGACTGCATTTGGCAGACACCAAATTTCTCCTCTGCGGCCTGAAGTCGGTAGCTTCTCCAGTCTNAAAAAAAAAAAAAACAAAACAGTCTGTCAGTGACAGTGGTCACCCAACTCTTTCGCTTTCAGGCTCTCTTTTCGTGAATATCATAAAATAGCATGTTTACAGCTGAGTGAAATTATGGTTGCAGACAAAAGTCAGAGTTACATTGTGACTGGCGGTCAGTCGTTCAGTCAGTCAGACAGTAAGTCTTAGTGTCGAGCACCATCTGGGGCTCATGACCAGATATTTATTACTGTTTGACATTTATGGTCTTATTTTTGTGGGGCGCCCTCTCTGACGAGAGGACAGATCTGTATTTTATATATGACGTTGGCCCATGCCAGTGCAGTCTTTCTCGGGTCTGAGTCCCTTGAAACTCACGACCATATTTTACTGTCTCATTTGAGACTTTCCTTTTCATTGTCTCCTACGACTCGCAGGGTCACAGTAGAAGTGTTCAACCCCGCCTCCACACGGGCGGTTGCAGACAGTACTAATTCTGTACTAATGTAGCCTCGAATCGGACAATGACAAAAACAGAACTCATCCTCATCATTGCATGGTAAGGGTATTAACCAGTTGTTGCATAGCAACGGTCTCCATGGGGGACAAGTGACGTCACTTGCAGAAACGCAGAGGTCACATGACCCCTACTCACTAATGCAGTATGACACCATTACGCCTGTGCAGAAGTCTTTGTTTACCGGCTGGCACCTAGAAGCGGATTGCATTAATTTAGCAACTGACTGTTTACCAAGCGTCTGTCTTCCTGGTAACTCATTCCACTTTCTGTCACCCCCACAACGGGTTGACATGTCACAATACAATATATGAATGAAGTTTAATTATAACAACAAAGCAGTCTTTTCTACTAAACTATATGTCTGTACCTTAATATGGGCTTTTACAATTAAAATGAATCTGTGTAGGCCCAATAAAGAAGCTCCATGGCTCAAACTGAGATTGTTATGTTTCAGTAAACTCTGGCCTCTAAGCATAACTCATAATACTATAATAATTATAATGATTTGCCATTTATTTGTAACTTTTAGTTGCAAAAATAATATACCAGTGGCTTTAAATAATCAGATTAGAGGCCCAACTTTAGGTACTTTCCCAAGATCTGGCTCAAGTAACAGAATAAAACCATGAAAAACATGAAGACGGCATTCTTAGCAAGATGTAAAACTGTAACCTGTCTAGAACAAAGCATGAATGCTACCCAGTTGATCAAGATATTCAGTCAGCCAGTATGCAGAACATGTACACATCTGCAAAGCCAACTATTCTCCCTAATCGACCATACCTGTTCACAGCAAAAGTAAGTCTTAAAGTGAAATGATAGTTTTGTTAACTTATTTTGGTTGAAATTATTATTCTGAAATATAATTTAACACTGTACACTAAACTATCACAGAGTAGGTTGCAGATGTAAGAAGAATACATAATTCATAAAAAAAATTAACTCCATTAATGAATTATTCTTGAGCAGGTATGGAAACACAAGTTTTCCTCAATGCGAAATGCATCACCAGAATAACCAAGAGCTCTCACCTCTGGAAACTGATTCAGAAAATTGCCTCTTCTTTCCCTTCGGCACTGCTTGTTTTGAGGCTCAACGGTTCCACTGTCTGAGGGTATGTTGAAATTTAAAAAACTTAATTGGAGTCGTCCAGTTCTACAAGTACTTTGAAGTTAAATCATGCAATACCTGAAAAACAGACAAAATATGTCATGTGTTTAAAAGACACATTTATGGACAAATGAAAAGTTTCCATTTGTGGCATTTCATTAAATCTTTCCACTTATTTGCTTTCAATCAGGCGCCAAAAAAAAAAGAAAGAAAAACATATCTGTCCAATACTGAAATCAATGTATTACTTATTCCGCATTAACACTTTTGTTTTGTGTGCCCTTTTTTCTGGCACTACTTCAAGGTGATACAAAGTTTCAAGTCAAAAAGAAATTTCATTTCATTATAGTTGCTTGAGGCCTGCACTAAATGTCACCCATTTTTGCTGTGTATGGTCTGGTTTTCTTCCAGCCATATAAAATATGTAACTTGAATACAGACATTAATTTCTCACAATTTTGTATATATCTGTCAGCTGTCAAATATATCTGTCAAATTTCTGCCCTCCGCTCCATATTCTCCACACAGATTTTAATATTTCCGTGTTCATCTGGACATCTTCCATGCAGTTCCTGACAGATGTTTTTGGTGTCCAATTGTTGTTAGGTGAAGTGGAGAAATTTCAAACAAATATATAGGTATTACCATGGAATCTTTCTTCGAAGAATGGCTTATGCTTCTTCAGCTCATAATAACCTAGGCTCTCCTTGGCAGACATTTTTATATTCTCTCTAATAGTTTCTCAAGCTTTATTAACATCCACCTCAATGTCCAAGTTTTCCAAGGCCGCAAACCTATTTGGGATTTCAAGACGATACTGCTCTTTACCCTCTACCTCATTTAATTTCTGATTGAACCTCTGCATATGAACTCTGTGCGTTGTTTGTTTGCTCACTGCCAGTTTTTCCCGAACCGTTGCCATGACGAGGTGACGAGGTAGTGGTCAGTATCACAATCTGCTCCCCTGAATGATCGGACATCAAGTATACTTGGGTGCTGTCTATCTAACAAAATATGGTCGATATGATTGTGTATCTTCTCATCAGGAGATGTCCAAGTAAATGTATGGGTGTTATGATGTGGGAACATTATACTTTTGACAGTAAGATTTTTTAGTGGCAAAGTTTACTGCTCTAACTCCATTATCATTACTAATTTCATGCAAACTCTCATTCCCAATCCCACTACCCTGAGCAAACATGCCCTGTACATACTTCTACATTCTCAGGAACATAAGCCAATTAATTCTATTTGGAATAAGGTAAAATTGCCTGATCAGTGGAAGAAGTCTATTATTGTACCAGTTCACAAGAACGGCGATAAAACTGACTGTAGTAATTATCGTGGGATATCGCTGCTATCAACTTCATATAAAATTTTATCCAATATTCTTCTCTCAAAGTTGAGAGTTATAAACTACTGATAAGAAATTGTGCTTTCATCAGATACCGGAGAAGAAATTGGAGTACAACGAGACAGTACATCTGCTATTTGTAGACATTCAGTTATGAGGAAAGTATTGTAAAGTATCTGGTAGTTTGGGGTACAGATGAAATTACTTAGACTGATTAAAATGTGTTAAAAAAACATACGGTAAAGTTGATATAGGTAAACATTTGTCTGATAAATTTCCTATCCAGAATGGTCAAAAACAAGCAGCTCTATTTCCACTTCTTTCCAACTTTGCATTTTTAAACATACTTCCCTAACTTGTGCACTGTTCACTTTAAAAATTAATATAAAATCTCCTAATTAATTCTTTGAACTAAAATTTTTGGAGAACACTTACCAATGCTACTAGAAGTGCTTGAGGGTGTGATATTTCTGGAAACTTTCCCCTTTGTGAAGTGGCATTACACACTTGCAAATGTAGACATACTCCTTTTTTTGTGAACTGTGTAAACACGGCATTGCCTAGAAGTATTCTTCCCCTTGGAATGTTCACTCTTCACAATTTTCACGAGGGTATTTTTCAGCATATCAGTCAAGAGTCGCCCTGGGGGGTCCACATGAGGCTTTCGTGAGGTGGGAGTTGATGGCCCCGATCGTACTAAGTCTTTGTGTGATCCTGGTTCTGCCGCCACCATCTGGACTGTAGCCCAGGCCTTTGCCACATTCATCAGAAATGCTTTGTATTTCAATTTTGAATCATGGTTTAGACCTTTTTTAGATTTTTTGCTGTCCCCGTAATGTTATTACCTGCATTTTCGTCGGAGCTACTGTCACTTCTACTGTCTGTGGCCACAATTCTTTGTTGTCCCCCATCACTGTCGCTGTCTGAATGACAATTAATCCATTACTACGCGTCTCACAAGGCAGGTCAGCTAGGTCATTGGAGGAGAATTTGTCCTTGATCCATTCTCCCCACTAGCTACTGGCTGATACACACAGCTTGAAGAAGGCAAAGCATTTTCCTTTATAGTCGGTTAAGTAAACAGCGAGGTCAAGTTACTGACTGCTAACTAAACATTCCAGAGTCTTATCACGCATCTGCAGGCGGTTGTGTGCAATGTAGGTGGCGCCAGAGCGATGTATAGTGTGTTGCAACTTATCGTGTTCTAAAAACCTGTTAACACGCGAACGGTCTGCCATGTTTAAAAGCGAAAAACCTTTTAAAGGCTGCGCGGTCCGCGAAGTGTAAACAGTCCTCACTGCTCACAGGACTTCAATTTCACTGATCTGATACAGCAAATAAAACAATTAGCTGAAGGCACAGCCAGTGTAGCCACTCTGCACATGTAACTGGGAAACATGTGGGTAAGAGGGACTCTTGTGCAAAATGAACATGCAAAATCCAAGGAAGAATAAAACGAATTTTCTGCAACTTATTGCAAATGCTTTTGTATTCATAACTAAATGTTGGCAGAAGCCACTTACAAACACTTATTAATTAGAATACAGTCAACAATGGACACCATACATAAGCAACAGCACAACTAATTAAGTAAGACCATGCATAAAAGAATCCATCAATATAAAACACTTTGTGAACAAACTTCTTGAACCTTTAACGGCCGAATGTCGGATATATATGATGCAAGCAGCAACCCAAGTTCGCCAAATGTTATATATACAGGGCGTTTCACGACTTTAAGGCATAACTGCAGGAGGTGATTTCCTAGGTCTTTGTGATCAAAAAAAGTTCATATAAACATGTGTCCGATTTTGGACGGTTACGGAGTTATGACCGTTTTAAACTCAGAGTAGAAGGTAATGATTATGGACAATAAAGAGAACAAAATAATAAACCAGCATAATACATGATATATTTAAAGTATGAATATAAAGTTAACTTCGTGAAATTACCTTTAATTTGAATTTATTGGTGCTTAAAGCTGATTTTCGAAAATGCCACCACCGGCCGCATCACAGGCTGCCGCTTGGTTGTGAACCGTGCGGGTAGCATGTAGCAGCTTCAGCTGGCTGTTTCTTACGTGGTCAGCGGCGTCCAGAATGTGACCGAGCAAAGCATCTCACGTTGCCAACTTCACATTGTAAACCAGTGCTTTCTTCCATCCCCACACACAATAATCCAGTCGGCTTAAGTCTGGAGACCTGGCTGGAAATTCTTCGCGTACTCGCATGTGGACTGCGGTGTACTATACGAACATGCCTTCTTTGTTGACGCTTTCATTAACACCACGCTCGGCTGCAATACAAACGCTGGGAAGTCTACCAGTATCTTGCAATGCCTGGTAAACTCCAGTAAACACTCTCCGGTTCGGTATTCTACGATTTACCATCACAAAACCCGTACACATAAATCATATCTGCATACTCCTCAATTGAAAATGTAAATGGCATTGTGAACATAACAGATGCACCAAGATGAGAACTGTTCTGAACACCAGCAGCCACCACACTAGCTGTGGCCTTACATACCAACCCACCACACCTTAGGTACCTCTCAAGTGTTGAGATAACGAGAACGCTCTGTCTGTAGCTGGCTAAAAATAGCGACCTGCCAGATAATAGACGCGGTTCACACGAGGGCGTGTACAGGAATGAAAAGACGGTAATAACTCCGTAACCATCCAAAATTGGACACATGTTTATATGAACTTTGTTGATCACAAAGACCTAGGAAATCACCTTCTGCAGTTATGCCCTAAAGTCGTGAAACACCCTGTATATGACACAGGACACGTGCACTCTTTGGGAGTGCTGACAGTTTGACCTTGGGTTTGAAACCAAAACAAACTCACGCAAGTTTATGTCAGAAGTTCATTTGTTAGCTCTGAAGAATGAAATCGTTTATCAGTGTACTGGTTTCGATACTATTTACGTTTAGATATGACTTTATGACTTGGTCAGCCAAATATGGCCCAGCTTTGTTCTGAGAACAGAAGAGGAAATATTCATCAGTGCTTCCAGAGCTTTCAAGGAAGTGTGAAGTTTTCGAGGATTGGTTTTCAGTGGCAAATTATCAGTTAGGAAGTCAGTGTTGGATTGTCTAGTATTTTTTTATCAGTTAAAAAGTTAGTGTCAGACTGTCATATATTTCTTTATATATTATTTTTATTTTGTGTCTAGGAAGAGGTATAAACCCACTGAGCCCGTATTACTTTGTGAGTAACAGGAATAGTCACTGTGACTTTCGGTATCAGTGTCGGACTGGCACTCTTTTCGACTAGTATTATAATTACTTTGCATCACTATTTTGCGAGTATTACTAACAGGTGAGAGTCTCACTTTGTCAATCAAATTAATTTATTCGATTTAACTGGAAACACCCCTCCCCCAAGATGGAACCTCAAAAACGTGCCTGATATTCAAAACTTCTTGATGCAGAAGAACTGGAGGAAATATTGATGGAAACGGAATCTGATGAAGAGTTAGAAGAACTCAAAGAGTTAAATGAACTTCGTGAAAATGTCATCATCATCATCATCATCAGGTAATGAGGCAGAGGAAACAGAAATTAGGTTTCGTGATAGAAGACCCGAGGATTCGCAAAAGGTACTTGACTTCATTGGCCCTCCGAGTGGAATCAACAGATCAGCTGCTCCCAGTATAAATGCAGTCCTCTCCCTTTTCCATTTTCATTCTGTTTTTCCAACAAATATTCCAAATCTTGTTACAAGAAACCAACAGATATTTCCATCAATTTATGGCCTGCCAAGATGCTCCAGGCCCTTCTGTTCAACTGCCTACCGTTACAATTGAAGAAATGTACAAATATTTGGCAATAATAATTCAAATGGGCCACGATCAATGGGACACCCTCAAAGATTATTGGTCAAGAGATAAGCAATACTACACTCCATTCTACCCTAACGCCATGGTATGAGACAATTTCGTACACTTTTGAGATCCCTGCAGTTTGAAAATAATGAAACTCCTCCAAATTGAGATGACCCAGAGTATGATAGGCTCTGGAAAATTAGGAAGATATTTGACAATCTCAACAACAAATTTTGTGAACTTTACAATCCATCAGAACATCTTGCTGTTGATGAAGTCATAGTGCTCTTCAAAGGAAGAGTGATTTTTCGTCAGTATATTCCAAAGAAAGACAAAAGATTTGGTATAAAAATTTACAAACTTTGCGATGTTCTTGGCTATACTTATGACATGACAGTTTATTTAGGCAAACAAAGGCAACTTGGGACAGAAGAAATTACACCAACACATGGCACTGTTCTCCAGCTAATTCGAAGAGTAGAAAGCCTGGGACACACAATTTACATGGACAATTATTTCAGTTCTCCTACATTATTTGATCATCTTATAGACAGGAAAATAAATTCATGTGGCACCGTTCGCAAGGATAGGCGTGGAATGCCACAAGAAATTCGGCCCAAGTCAATGAAATTGAAAAAAGGGGATATTGTTACAAGAGTCAAGGGACATCTAAGTGTTGTTTGTTGGAAAGACAAGTGTGAGGTGTATGTTCTGATGAATATGCACCCTCCTCCATTGGATGGCAACTTCCGAGATGAATCTGGCCATGCTTTCAAACCCCATGTAATTGAAGACTACAATGCACAAATGGGCTTTGTGGATAAATCTGACAGGATGGTAAACAGTTATGGCATTGCTCAGAGGACATGGAAGTGGACAAAGAAATGGTTTTTCCACCTTCTAGATATGACTATTCTAAATGCATATCTATTATGCAAGTCATGTGGTGGGAAAATGACACACAAAAAATTCCGTGAAATACTGGTGCAGGATTTGATTCTTCATTCACATGAGGCAAATATCACAGTGTGGCATTTCTCAGGGGAGGCCAAGTTCATCTAGGGCCCAACTGAGTCAACTGGAGGCGAAACATTCACAACACTGGCCTACCAAAGGGTAACAAAGACGTTGTCATGTTTGTTCTCAAAATAAGAAAAACAAAGCACGCTCCACTATGGTGAAAAGTGTGACGTTGGGCTATGTGCCTGTGTGTGGTGGACTGCTTCGAGAAGTGGCACACGCGCATCAGAGTGTGAGGTATCGTAAACTGTGAAGTGACGCAGTTCAAACTCGCGTACAGTCTGAACAAAATGTTATTCTATATAGTGTGAATATATTCACAATATCAGCTTGATTCAAGGTAGAAAAAAAACAACAGGTAAGTCCTTTCGAATTTCATAACATATATAATAAAGATCATATTTTGCATTTCATGACAAAATAATCACAGTTAATTTTCATTTGTAAAACTTGCTCTTTTGTGTATATGTAGAAAATTTTATTGTCTTTCAGGTACCTTATAGTTCATATTTCTATGCTACATGAAACGGAAAATATGAATTTTCTTCTGAATGTTTGCAATGTTAATTAATTAGGGCAATTTAAATTCCATCTGTACAGGGCTTCTGGCAATTTAAAAGTCCGTATGTTAAAGGTTAATGCAATGGGCAGCTAAGAGTAAATTACATTCTAACAAAGGACATCTCTTAACTTCTGAAGTGGAGTAATAAATGCAGTCTTATATTAGTCACAGTTTTTGCAAGACACCATCTCAGTGTCTATAGTGTGGCTTAGCTTTCTGTGTACATCACCATTCTCTCACCTGGCTCTATGTCGAACTCAGATAAATCACGGGCTTCTGGTTTACCCTTGTAAAGTTGTGCCATCACTACCTTCTTCTTTGCAGCTGAATTCAGCTTGTCACTTGGTGAGCCAGGCTTTACTTTATCTTCAGCTGCAAACGGAGACAAGTTGTTTAAAATCACTTAAAACATGGATTTGTTATGATAATATCACACTGACAGAAAGCAGGCTCTAATAAATACAACTCCAGGAGTCCAAACAGATATACATCAGTTTGATTTGTAACAACATTTATAATACAGTGCGCCTCGAACATCAACAGGACACTGAAGAATCCTACTCGCCAAACAACAGAACCACAGGCGGTGGATGCTTGACTTCCTTCGGAGAGAGGAAATAGAAGGGACACGAACCAATATGGTTTAAAACTTTAACATTTTTAAATATACTAACTGTAATAAATATTTTAACATGTTGCTAGAAGCCGCTGTAGTTGTTAAAAACATTAGATTTGTACATTGCATTACGACATTGTATGCAAATATCAATATTCACAAAACATATTAAAATAATGGTTTCTAACTGTACTGATATCCTTCTGAAGATGGTATATATAAGACCAAAACGTGTAATGGGTAAAAGATTAAAAAAACTTCATCAGTCACACTGGATGGAATTAATTAACCCTTTTGTAAGATATACATCCGTATATGGCAACATCTTAATGTGACCAAAATTTTTGTTTTTTATCTGCAGTGCATTAACAACGTACAGCCCTTCATTCAGAAAAATTTGATTTAGAAAACGTCACAACAGTGGAATCTCCACTTAATATTTCTTGATTCAAGATTTCCACTCATTTAGTTTTGAATTCACCTTCTATTAGCCAAACCTCTGCATCTAAATGTTAAATCCCTCTTTGCCCCATTCAATCCTTGCATTTTGCAAGCTGACTGTGGCTGTTCAGTGCACTTGCAACAAAACTGGCACAGGCAAAAGGGTGCATAATAGCCTGCTAGAAAATTCTTAAATGCAGACTTCACTGTACTATATAACTGGTGTCATACTGGCATTCAACCTGATCGTACGAGGGTTGTACTGAAAGTCATGAGCAACAATTTTTTGTAAACATGCTTTATTATTGACAAACCAAATACACCACCTCAATCTACAGACCTTTCTTTATTTTTTCACATAATCGCCACTTCTTTGTACACATCTCCCAGCGTTCTGGGAGTTTGAAAATTCCCCTTCCGTAAAATTCCATTCCAGCCATTCGAAGACACTGACGCACTGCTTTCTGAATTGCCTCCCTTGTCTCAAAATATCTACGCAGCTGATCCTTCACAAATCTGAAAAGATGGTAGTCGGAGGGTGCCAGATCAGGGCTATAGGAGGGGTGTGGAAGAATTCCCACCCCATCTCTACAATTGCTTCCTATGTGAGGTGAGCGGCGTGCAGGATGATGTTTCGTCTTGGATGTTTACCGCACAATGGACGACAGAGCTTGTGCAGCATCTGAACACGAGCAGCATTGACACTTTGCCCAGGTTCCAGGAATTCGGCCAGAACCCCTCTGAATCCCAGAAGATTGTACCCATCACCTTCTCAGCCGATGGCACTGTCCTTGCCTTCTTTTTTGATGGAGAATGCAAATGGTGCTGTTCCATACTCTGCCGTTTTGTTTCAGGCTCAAAATGGTGAAACCAGCTCTTGTCACCTGTCACAATACAGAGGAAAAATCATCGCCTTCGTGTTGATATCTCTGCAGCAGTTCTGAGGTGATGGCTTTTCGCTGACCTATGTGGTCTTCGGTCAATAACCACGGGACCCAACGAGCACAAACTTTCCTATAAGCCAAGTTTTCAATCATCTCCTGTACTGCACTGTGCCCTATTCCAAGTTTTCGGGCTATTGGTCCACAGTCACATGCCTGTCATCTTGAATGATCTCATCCACTCTTTCCTTGTTGCATTCAGTTGAGGGTGTTCGAGGACGACTGCTCCGAGGCTCATCTTCGACGCTGGTGTTCCCATCTTTAAAATGTTTCACCCAATTTCGAACACTGCTTGCACCCATGCACACACTTCCATAAGCATGCTGAAGTCGCTGGTGAATTTCTGCAGCAGGGATTTCCTCTTTCACAAGAGATTCGATGACAGCACACTGGCAAAACGATATATCGTTGTTGGCCATTTTGTTAGGAGTGATACTGGTCATGTGATGCAAGCTATTGACCTCACAAGACACTCAAGGTTAACACAACAGCTTCTTCCATCTACAACCGTACTCTCTTTTGTCTGCGGTTCCCAGGTTGCATGCAAAAAAAAGTTGCTCACGACGTTTGGTACGACCTACGTATAATGAAAAACTGCTCCAAACAAAAGAGGAAGAGCAACTAGACAGAGATTAACCTCCTCCAAAATTCAAAATCAATGTTTAGAAATCATTCATCTACAGAAAAGAAAGAGACCTCAGATTTACAGCTTTCAATGCCCAAGCTTCTTAGCCACTGAATCCCGTTGATATTTCAAATCATATCAACCACCATGCTTAGAGAGCAAGCAGACTTTATCCCCCAATTAATGGGGAACATGCATAGCTCAAGCCGTACAGCAGAGGCCTACAGGCTGGACAGCCTCGGTTCAGTTCCAGATTTCTTCTAGTCCACAGTATCCAGACCGGCTCTGGGGCTCATGCAGCCCACTAATCAGTCAGCACTGCAGACTCTTTCCCTCAGGGTAAAGCTGCCTGGGAGTGCAGATGACCATCTCCATCATGGACTTGTTCCTCCACTCCCCAGTATGTCTTTATGGGGTGGTGCTTAATTAAATACAGGGACAACTTTAGCTTCACCTATACTAGATTCATAGCAAGATTAATGAACCTCCAAATATTATCTATTTACCAATAAACAACTACTTCTCTGACAAGATGCAAATGGTATAAAGGAAAGAATCATAAACAAAACAAAAAAAAAACTCTGTGGCTTTAGTCTGAAAGTGAACTATACTAAGAGACTGCAGCTTGTCAGCAAAGTTAGTGACATCTTTAGCGGATAGAAGGTGTCACGTGGTCAGACCAGTGAATCCCCATGGGCGTTAATTTCGATTTTCTAACCGAAGCCACTATTTCCTTGAAATAGCTCAACTATCAACATGAGGCTTAGTGGACCCCGTTCCAGACCCACTATTTCTCCGAAAATCTGGTACAGCTGGGAATCGAACCCGGACCTCTGGATCTGTAGCCAGGCACTCTGACTACTAGAACACAGAGGTGGTATGGCTATATAAAACAAAAACCAAACATATGATCCATTCTGAAAATGGGGACACAATGACACACAATTATTTGATACAATGCAAAAATGGAACCAAACCTCTTCAGACCTGACAATTCTGAACAACTTCACCCTCATGACTTCATGCGGTGCGCAAATGACAACATAATTCCGACTTGCACACAACCAAGCCACAACCTCTAAAAACTAAGCCTCACCGAATGGCTGTGCCATAGCTCAAGCGGTTAGTCGATGGCTTCCCACCTCGGTGGCCCAGGTTTGGAGAAGTGGGATTTGTGGTGGACAAAGTGGTGCTGGGGCAGGTTTTCTCCAAGTACTTCGGTTTCCCCTGCCAATCTCCATTCCACCAATTGCTCCACAATCACCCTCACCTATCATCTGGGGCTGGTACAATAGGCCAGAAGTGGCCGCAGTATAAGGGACTTAGTCCCACCCCACTAGCAATATAAAAAAAGCCTCACTGAATCAAGAGACTGCTTCAAAAAACTGCCTCATCAACCCAATTAATTCACCTGAAGAAAGATGGGCACCAAACATTAAACTTTACTTATAAATGAAGAAAGCAGTCTTCTGGGATTTGGCACCATGTATATGTGGTGTTAACCGACGTTTCGGAGGAACGTATCGCCTCCATCTTCAGGGTAGAAGAAAAAATATAAGAAATCTGCAAAGCGAAGAGACCGTGAGAAACGGTAAAAGCAGACTTATAAATGGTACAGACAATGAGCAAATCACTGAAGGTCCACACACATACCACTCATCATATTCACAGACCATGGCTGTCCCCCTTGTAAAGTAAGATTACTTCAAATACACTGATAGGTGACACTGCAATATCAATATTACATTAAACTGCTGCATTTCTGGGTTACGCTGAGTTTGTTCCTCAAAAATGATCCCAAAAGGCACAGTGCATCTTATATACGAGAAGTAGCACTGAAAATATGTTAAAACATTAAAGCCGGGTTGGGATTATGTGGTTCTTGCTGCAGTAACCATGAAAGAGGGCATTTTCTGAGTTGTAAGACGGTGAGGCTCAAAGGCAACCTGATGTTTCGGAGAGCCATATCACCTCTATCTTCAGAATCAAAGAGTAGGCCAAGAAAGAAATCACAAAAAAGGACACAAGTTGAAATGAGCTGAGCTTGCCGCCTTCACCTGCTGGGTCTTCTCTGTTTACTCTCAAATCCTGAAGACGGGGCATATATATTGCACCGAAACATTCGGTCCTCCACGAACTAAACAGCATTACAATCCAGGAGACTACTCTTCTTTAGACCCGCAGTTAACACAATGTGAATGCGGTGTTCCGGTACAATTATCCCAGCTGGGATTATTTCTGCATGTATCTGCATCCGACAAAAACACAATTTCAACGCCACCACGAGGAACTAAAGAATTGTAGGATACAACTACAGCCAAACTACTCGTACATACTGCCAAAATTACTAAGTATAATGAAATATTTCCTAACTACTCCTTCCGAAACAATTACATATATTAAAGGCCTGGAAACGAAGTACTTACGGTCACGAACTTCTGGCAATATGCACATAAACAACGTTGACCAGATTTCTTTAAAATGCGGCACACTCAAAAACTCATATCACAAAGCAGCAAACGCCTTGGACAACGGCAAAATTCAATATGGCTACCCTTGTCGCACTCTGCCCACTTACACACGCAAAATATTGCTACCGGTGGCTAGAGCAGGGTGAGCACGGATATATGACAATAGCATGACCACGGATTATCAAGTAAAACAAGACCTTCGGTATAAGTACATTACAAATAGTCCAGATTAANTTTTAGTGCACAGTACTGTATAATGGTATTAGATTCAATTATTTTCGTGTTACGGCATTAGGATATTAGTGTGGTTAAAATTACAGTGTAGGTGTATTTCAGTGTATAAATCTACAATAGAACAGTTTCAACTATAATAGGCTATGTACCGTACTTCAGAAGCTTTATAATGAAGAACCATTGGCCTGCATCACAAAAGGTAAGCTTAAGTAGCGTTTTATGGTGTAAAAAATTAACGATGTTAAATTTATACCGGTATATCTGGCTTGTATATGTGTACTTCGGTTTATCCGATGTTTTTGATTATCCGCGCCAAGTCTCCCCGCCATTACCGCGGATAATCGAGAGTCTACTGTAGTGTCATGAAATTACATACCGAATAAGTATAAAACTGTATGTTACCAAAGCTACTTAAATTAAAATTGAGGACCAACGGGGACCAAACGATTTAGCCGTTCTTGACTAGTATAACCACTAACTACGTATAACCGCAATTCCGACGTATGTGGTGCAGATGAGGCCACCTGCACAAGGAGAGCCGAGAGAAGGGAAACTCTGCCTCTTTAGAGCCTCTATTACTTCGGCATATACAGCTGTCGACAAGTAAAGTTACACTTTCGGACATAAGCAACAATCGAACCTAAACAATGATCCAAGCCAAGACCTTCAAAACTTTCGTTATAGTATATTTCCCATTCAAAATTGAGCATCTGGGCGCTAACATTAAATTGACCCTCCACAAAGCACTCACTACATCCGTAATGACATGCTAGTCCAGCCTACGAATTTGCGGCAGACACACAACCAGTGAAATTGCAGCGTCTGCAAAACAAGGTTCTCTGCACCGTTGGCAATCTTCCAAGATGCACACCGGTTCGAGATTTGCACATGGCGTTTAAAATCCCATACGTTTATTATTATACACGTATAACAAAATTATGCAGGCAAAAAGCAGAAGTCATACAACATCATGATAACGGGAATGTTCGCAAGATTGGACAAGGCGAATTCCGACATATAAAGTATAAGTGGCTTATATTTGGCGGCGGTCAGGCATATGACCGTTCATGTAACTAGATTGCCCTTGTAGCGAATACTACTAGAAATAGGGCATAGTCTGCCGTAATGAGCCTGAGCTAACAGAGGCCTTGTAAATAAGTGTACATACTGACAATGGATCTAATATTATCAAGTTCGGCTGACAGATGACAGACCCGATATCTTGTCAGAGAGGGCGCCCGCAAAGACAGGACAGTAACTTTCATACAAGAAGAATCATCTGGTCATGGGCTCCAGACAGGTCTCGACACCAAGACAGACAGACTGACTGACCGTCAGTCACAATGTAAGTATGGGGGGTGAACCATAAAAACCGGCCCTCGCACTGCGACCTTCAATGATCTAGTGTGCTCAGTCACAATGTGACTTTGACTTTTATGACTTTAGGTCTACTCGAAACCGTAGACAAAAACCCCCTTATCCTGACTCCAACTCTTTTCAGTTTGTACAATCCAGTGATTAAGACTACTCTTTCTAACGGGCCAAACTGAGTAGGTCTACCCTGCCCCATCCACCTGAGGACGGAGTCAGATCCAGTCTCTGAAACGTTATATTTTTTTGTCATTTATATACCAGACGATGGATAAAGTCCAAAAAAAAGTACAGCATACACCATCGTCAGAATCCTTTCAAGTCCCTTTTCAGTTTGTATATAAACGATGCCTCCAAACACATGGCGTTCACCTGGCCCTCCTTGCGGACGACACCTGTCTGTATGCGACAGATCGCAAGGAAGGTTTTATTTTCAAAAATCCAGCGTGTTCTCAGCTCAAATGGGACCTTTAGTGAGCGCTGGAATATCAAAATTAATTAAAATAAGACTCAGGGGATATACTTCCCTCGCAGTGGTCGTCCACATGTTTCTCATTTTACATTGAAAGGGAGAAATATTCCATTTGTAAATAGTGCAAAATATCTCTGTGTAATCTTCGATAAGAGGATTACATGGAGATTGCACGTAGAAATGATCGAAGCCAATGCCTTCAGAACATTCATTAGAGTATATTCCCTATTCAAAAGTGAGCGATTGAGAGCTAACATTAAATTGACCCTCCACAAAGCACTCATTAGATCTGTTATGACTTAAGCCTGTCCCGTCTGGGAATTTGCGGCAGACACCCATCTATTGAAATTGCAGCGCCTGCAAAACAAGGTTCTCAGCACCACTGGCAATTTTCCAAGGCGTACACCGGTCCGCGATCTGCACATGGCGTTCAAATCCTATTCTTATGCGTAATGGTAAAACTATCCCTGTAACAGGCCATGAAACCCATAGGGTTGTGAGACGTTGAGGGTTCCACATTAACTCGACAATTGGCTCAAAGTTGGCGGTAAGGTTGACAGTCTTACGCGCCGGCTGCGCTTTACTCCCCAGGAAAATTATTAAATTAACTCCTGGTACTCACTTCTGCAGATTGGAAGAGGAGTTTGACAAGGATGCTGTTTATCACCAATTCTGTTCAACTTGTACAGCGAATGCCTTACCAAGGAAGCTCTGGATGGGCTCGGTGACTTCAAAGTAGGAGGGCAAATTATTCAAACTGTGAAATATGCAGATGACCTTGTGTTAATGGCTAAGGAAGAAACTGTGCTACAGGGCATGATTGATAGACTAATTGAAATTGGAAGGTGCTATGGCATGGAAATGAATGTGGAAAAAACAAAAGTAATGAAAATTTCGANTGAAATGTGGTGTTGGAGAAGGATGGAGAAGATCAGTTGGAAGGATTATGTGAGAAATGAAGAAGTGTTAATTAGAGTCAGTGAGCAGAGGAATATCCTACACGAAATAAGAAAACGGAAGGCTAATTGGATTGGTCATGTTTTACGCAGAAACTGCCTTCTAAAAGAAGTTATCGAAGGAAAGATAGAGGGGCGGATAGAAGTGACAAGAAGACGAGGAAGAAGACGTAAGTAGATGCTGGATGACCTTGTGGACAGAAGAGGATACTGTCATTTGAAGGAGAAAGCTCTAGATCGCATTAAGTGGAGGAATTGTTTTGGAAGAGACGGACCTGTCGTCTTGACAGATTACTGATGATGATGACTCACTTCTGTTAGAGGTTGAGTCGACCTCAGGGCTACAGTGCGGCCGGAAGAATTAGGCCAATCGAAAAAAATCCAATGACCTCATCGGGACTTGAACCGGTGACCTTCCGGCTTTTAGCATAGTGCCTCAACCAACTACGTTACCGCGTATATGGCTATATAAAAATATTATGCAGTCAACAAGCAGGAGTCAAAGAAAATCACAATAAAGGAAATGTTCGCAATATTGGACAAAGCGAAGCCCGACATATAAAGTATAAGAGGCTTAAACTTGGCGGCGGTCAGGTATATGACCGTTCAACTGACTAGACTGCCGTTGTAGCGAATAGTACTAGAAATAGAGCATAGCGTGTCGTAATGAGCCGGGATTGATATAGGCCTTCTAAATACTAACAGTAAACCTGTATATAAGTGTACATACTGACAATGTACATAATACTACTGACTATGACTGACAAATAAGAAGACCTGCCCTCTTGTGAGAGAGGGCGCCACATATGGAGGGTACAGCAATTTTCAAATAAATGGAAACATCTGGTAATGAGACCCAGACTGGGTTCGACACCAAGACAGACAGACTGACGGACCGTCAGTTGCAATGTAACCTTGAACTGACTTTGACTTGACGCCTGCATCGCGTTATCAAATTTTCTGTTGGATTATCCATTGGTTAGATGCTGAGGGTACGATCCAAAAGCATAATTCGTTTATATGCTTAAGTGTGCTGCTGTCTTCGCTCTTTTGGTACAACAGGGAAATTTTAAATTCGTGCTTTCGCTTTGTTCCATTCACACGGGACTCAGATAATTAATACAGTGGCACATTTCGGAGAGGCAAGAGGAGTCAACGCGGAGCTCTAGTACACGGCGTTTGGCAGTAGCAGCGAGAGCAGTTGTGAGCGTGGTGAGTTCTACACAGAGCTCATAGCCCCTCGCGAACCACAGGATTGAAGTCGAAGTGAGTACCTTTCCACAGATGGCGGGTGTCGTGGTGCCGGGTTATCAAGCATTTTCGGCTAACAAACGAGCCTCTCTGCAATCGGATTACCGCGTACTCAGAGAACGTCATCCCGAACATCTCGAAGCTGGCACACAATACAGACAGTTATTCAAAGTTTATGTGGCATTGAGGATGTGGCTGGGTATACAGCCGCTGCTGTCGAAGAGAGCGCAGAATGGACGGCAGTACTCAACGCCGCGGAAGAAAACGGGGCCCAGTCCGGAAAACACTCCTCAGTGCACTGTGTGGTATATATACAGTCACATTAAGTGAACTAAGTTCAGTGCTGAAGGCCAGCACAAGCGCAGGCAAAAGCATTACACCACACGCCACGAAACAGCATACTCAAAAGGAAGGTTTCCAAGAGGTTCGGAAGTGAAAACGACACAGCAGCAACGAGGCCGCCTAACGTAAAAGAAACCAGTGGCGACGGCAATGTCCGTCGCAATAAACACCATACAGCCGGCATACAGGGCTCAGAGAGGCCTTACGCAGTGCCACAACTGCCACCAGTTTGGCCTGCGTACAGGGCTCAGAGTGGCCGTAAGCAGTGCCACAACTGCCAACAGTTCGGCCGGCATACAGGACTCAGAGAGGCCTTACGCAGTGCCACAACTGCCACCAGTTTGGCCTGCGTACAGGGCTCAGAGTGGCCGTAAGCAGTGCCACAACTGCCAACAGATTGGCCATGTCTGTGGTAACTCCAGGAAACCTCGCCGCTGTACGTGGTGTGGGGACGGCCACCTGCACAAAGAGCGCCCAGAGAAAGAGAACGCTGCCTCCACTCCAGGTTGTTGCAACTGCCAGTTGAAGGAGAGAGAGAAGCCCCATCCCGGAAACTATCGGAGATGCAGACACGCGAAGGAAGAGGTGCAGAAAAAGGACTCACAGAAAACACTCATAACTATATCATCTTCCAATAGTATTTCATATACGTGATCATGTTAAAATTAGGAATTTTTAGGATCCTATTGAAAGATTCATAGTTTGGAATCGGTTTCAAAGCTTCGCCTCTGAAATACATCAGGTAAAACTTGAAATAAATAGGGAGTAGAAGCCGATAAATTGGTGCGCTACTATAGAGCCACTGTTTCTTTGTCATATAGTTTGTCGACAAGTAAAGTTACACTTTCGTACATAAACAACGATCCTCCTGGTCTAGATTGTTGTTCAAGAAAAGCAGAGGTTCCGAAAATTGTAGCAAGAAAAAATGGATCCAGGGTGTAAAACGGCAGTCAATTGTGTCATAGAGTCACTCAGGCAAATGACCCGTAAAAGGCACTTGAATTGTATGGGAAAAATAGGTAACGCTGAAGTCACACCTCAGGGTGAATGTCCTATTGCGAAATCCCTTTCAAGAGGGATGGTGTTTCAGGCCTTTAATTTCTTCCGTTCTGCAAAGCTAACGCAAATGCTGACTGAAAATTCAGTTCACACTACGTCATCTGTGTAGCGATAACCATGAATGGCGGGTTGATGCTGGAGTTCAAGCTCTACTTGAAATCGTAGACAACTCCCCTCAGAGGATAAGATCATGTGGCTTACAGAAATCAATATATTCCTTGAAATTGAGAAAGACTTGTGGAATTCTTGGTATTCCAAACGAATTCCCTTCAAGGCGACCATTGGTTCACCTAACCCATTTATTACATTATTGCCTTCAGCTGTCTCATTTTCCAAATCTTTGGAAGGAAGCAAAAGTTCTAATAACTTTACCTAAGCCCGGTAGCAGTATCAGCATCCGTAGTAGCAATAGGAAGGCTTGTGATTTAAATGAAGAATGTTAATTTAATCAGAAATGAAAATAAGGATGTGTTTATTGTTGCCATCTCATGAATGGGTGGAGCCGGAATATGTCAGCCGTTACAGCGAAGGGATAGGGACTGGAAGGCCGGACAAGGGACTAGATCTGAGACTTAACCACCCTCATATCCCATGGATGTTCTTTCCCTGGGTTTAAAGCGGAAGGGACGTGAAGCTGATCATGCACACCCTTCTATTGCAGAGATTAAGAATGGCGGAACTATACCTCAACTCCTCCATACGTCTTCATGGTTCATTCGTACTTTACCTTAACATATATGTCAAGATTACTAACTCACCCAGAGGTCCGTGTCGGCTGCTGAGAAACGGTATCCTGTGATACTTATTGTCTTCTGTTCGAGAGTTAATGTAATATACAATGAGTCGTTTTATCACTGTGATTACATGTGGATACATACAATGAAAGGTACTTTCACTATTTAGCATTACACACAGCTCTAGTACGATTCCATTACTAAAAGACAGCACGTTAGAATGTTTGCCCACGAATTCCCAGGGATGTTGGAAAGTGGCGTTGTCAGGGCCACTGTTCACAGAAGAAGGCCGGTCTCCATGAACAACGTGCGTCGTTCAAACCGCCATTTCGGCGCAAGCTTCCGCAGTTCTCGTTTCCACCACCGTTTTTGGGTTCTGAACTGTCTCAACGTGTGAACCCCGTGCTTTCCAGAGGCTTTCCTGCAAAAAGCTTAAAAGGCGACGAAAGTGACTGTACTCATGATGTAGCAGATCTTGCACATTGTGTTAACCAAGATGGGTGTCTGTAGATTTGAACATTCCTTGACTTAGATTTTTATTTATAGCAGACACGGCTCAATTACTGTAAATGCGCCTAAATTTATAGCTGAAGAAGTGATACAAAAATACTTTTCCTTTCATTTAAATAAATAATCTTAAAAATATTAAAGAGATATTTTATATTTTACTTATATGAAATCTATTTTTTTTTCTGTTGACAATAATTGGTTAAGGTTGCATTGACTTCCATGTGAAGTAGACAGATTCAATATACATACACGCTATAAACAAAGAAGTTTTGAATCCCTGGGATTTCCTTTTTCATAGTTTCTGACGTGTACGAGTATGTTGTAGATAGAGGCGCCCTTCCAATAATCAGTTCATGTAAGGACCACATAAGAATTTATCACCGCATGACAAGACCGGACAGCATTAAATTGAATTTTGATTGGATGACAAATCGGTATCTCGTGTTGATTGGATCATTACTTTAAAGTGAAATCAACGGCAAGATCACTTGCTTATTTTAAAATGTTGTACAAATCATAAAGCTACACTCGTATTAAATTCGCTTATATTATGAGGGCGCCATTTCTTTCACAGCGGACTTTTTATCGCCAAGAAATGAACCCCAGTTGGTGATGTGCGCAACATGAGTGCACGATCGGAGGAAAGGAACACAGTACCACAGACTAATCATTTGAGATAGTGGCCTCCGTAGTCTAGGGGTAACGTTCCCACCTCATGACTCAAGGTACGCGGGTTCAAACCCAGCGGAGGTCGTGGAATTTTAAGGGCGGAAAAATTCAGGGAACAAGTCCTCCGGGAGGGACTTTAAGCCGTGGGTCCCGTGTCGTAGATTTACGGCACGTAAAAGTTTCCCACCAAAGTAGTTTCCAATGCCTCCGGTTGATGGGGAAGTATTAGGTACCACTGCCAGAGGAAGGGGGACCTCTCTGACAGAAAGGAACTAACTATTAGATACCACTGCCAGTAGAAGGTTGGAACCTCGCTGGCAAAAAGGGGCTAATAGCGAGCAGTACCGGTAGGGTATGGAGACAGTAGAAATTAAAAGGGGGACGCACAATGGACCAATAACCGGTCTAAGTGCATGGGGAAACCAACCCCCTCTATACTCAATACTCAATTGTTTGAGTTCTGGAGGTGGAAGGAACAAGCACAAATAATCGCACCGTTTGGATTTGGCCATCCCATTTCTTGTGCAGTTGATAACGCCATACATGAAACTGTTCATCCCGAATTATCACTCAGATAATTGTTCTGTGTCCCTAAAATGTTTATTTTCCATTTTGAAGCCGAGCCCCTAATGATCTCTTGTGTTCTTGCCGTCCCCCTTGGGTTTCACCGTGCGACGGAGTGAACACTGGTCCCCGCTTGCAGTGGCCTGCAACTCCCCTATACCGAAATGAGTTGGCAGTTCCTGTGGATGCAGCCTGAGGATCTGAAGATGGAGAATATAAACTTATGCTACCGTGTAGCATTTGTACTTCTAGCAGCAGTGATTATGAACAGCACTATCTTCTGGGAGAAAACGCCGATTAGTCCGTCTAAAGTTAACCGACGTTTCAGAGGAATATGTCGCCTCTGTCTTCAGGTTCGAAGAATAAGCGAAGCAAGAAAGAAGAGCGAATGCTTGTGGTAAGCAGTGCGCAGTCTCAGAGGGCCAATGCTTACAGTAGTGTGAAACTGAACCATCGGCTCTGAAAGCAATAGAAATATAGGAGCATGTGTACAACTATTCACGTAATACGTACTCTCAAACTCAGCCATCAACCATAAGTGTGAGCCGCTCGTGCTGAGAACATAAGATGGGAAAGTAACACAATATCAGACGAGAGTTCTATCTAAGATTACACAGCATCATGTATTAGCCAGCCACTACACATGAAGGTGTAACATGGAGAAATCACGCATAACAAAAATCAGAGGCTAAAGATACGATAAGGATCAATTTTCTTTTTTGTGCTGTGACGAATTCCTTACCCATGCTCTTGTTGCGTTCATGTTTCATGAGAGAGAGCGGTCTTTGAAACACGGTTTTATTCTTGCATTCTGTTGATCACCTTGATAATGTCACCATCTTCTTTCACGAAACTATACACGTCAGCGACATTTTCTTTTCTCTGGTTATCACTTTGTTTCCTCCTTCTTAACTTCTCCGCGGCTTTCATGTTACTTTAGTAAAACCGTCACACCGGAAAGCTTCAAGGCAAAGTTACTCACTCACCGCCATTATGAGACTGAAAAAAAATGAGAAAACTCTTGGAACATGGAATCAGTATGAGAACTTCTTAGACTTTCACACATTACTCGCACAGATCTCGAGTCATTTTACACAGAAGAGGCCCTCCGGCTCTTCTTAACCACCATCGCGCAGTTTCTAAACAAAATTCCGTTGAACTGCTTGTCTGCAAATGCTGACACCACCATCATCTCGGCCCCGTTCCGAACATCCAGCAGAGCAGCGCTCGAGAGCCAGAAGCACAACAGAAACGAGAACGCCCAGGGCGAAAATGCTGACGGTGGGGGCTACCTCTGCCAGACCAATGGTTGCCCAGTCTCTGTACTGGGGCTGCACTTTCGCAGGCAGTGTCCTTGTTTGCAAACGATTCGTCAAACCTGCATTTCGCATCTTCAGTAAGCTATAGAAATGGAAATAACAAATGTCACTCAATTTGGTTTCATCATTATTTCGGATTTGCAGTAATAGCAGTAGCAAGAGCAGCAGTACTAGAGTAGTAGTAGCAATAGCAACAGTAGTATTAGTAGCAGTAGTAAGAGCAGCAGTACTTTGTACCAGTAGTAGCAGTAGTAAGAGCAGCAGTACTTAGTGTTAGTAGTAGCAGTAGCAGCAATAGCAAGAGCAGCAGTACTAAGAGTAGCAGTAGTAGTAGTAGCAGTAGTAAGAGCAGCAGTACTTTGTACTAGTAGTAGCAGTAGCAATAGTACTAGTAGTAGCAGTAGTAAGAGCAGCAGCACTTAGTGTTAGTAGTAGCAGTAGCAAGAGAAGCAGTACTTAGTACTAGTAGCAGCAGCAGTAGCGAGAGCAGCAGTACTTAATACTAGTAGTAGCAGTAGCAAGAGCAGCAGTACTTAGTACCAGTAGTAGCAGCAGCAGCAAGAGCAGCAGTACTAGTAATAGCAGTAGTAAGAGCAGCAGTACTTAGTACTAGTAGTAGCAGTAGCAGTAGTAGCAAGAGCAGCAGTACTTAGTACTAGTAGTAGCAGTAGTAGCAGCAGCAGTAGCGAGAGCAGCAGTACTTAGTACTAGTAGTAGCAGTAGCAAGAGCAGCAGTACTTAGTACTAGTAGTAGTAGCAGCAGCAGTAGGAAGAGCAGCAGTACTCTTACAAGAGAATATTAAACTAAGCAGAGAATATAATAAAAATTATTTCCTAGTGATTTTGTAACTGTAGCATTCTAGATGCAGAGACTAAAGTGCAGATCTTTCGCTTTATGTTATGTTTATGTTTCTTCTGTAAGGTCTGCGAATCTGAGTCTACAATAATGAAAATCAGCCCGTTTCGAGAAACACTCACTTGTAGTTTAGAAGTCCTCGGTAAGGGAACTTCTTAATGGTTGTCATGGCGATCACTCCTGGGATATTTGCCTGCGGAAGGGAGATGAAGGTGCAATTCAAGTTCCTGTTGAACTGTCGCATCATGGCCGGCGAGGACATGAAGGCGTATTTCGAATCACAAACGCGTTTGAACGCGTCAGCGTAGCTGAGTGGCAGATTCTGGATGTCAGGCAAGATGAGTTTCTCGTATATCTCCTTGGACAGCGGGTCCGTTGCTTCCTATAAGGACCGGGTTTGTTCTCTGTTAAGAGCATGAATAGAAAACCGTTCGCGAACGTGACACGTGTTAATATTTCGTGGTGACTATGCGAGGAGGCCAGACAAATAAGTAAAGTTGTCCCTGTGCTTAACTAACTAAGCACTAAGCCATGAAAGCGTAAGGGGGAGTGAATGTGTAGATCAACATTTTCTGACTTCTGCACTAACTGGAGGTGAGTTGTCAGATTCACGTCCCGGCCGCTTTACCCACGGGGAAAGAACCCCAATACCCACTGGCTAGGAGTTTGGGTGGATACCTGAGTCGGGTGGACGACGTGGAGAAGACTTTGACCTTACTGGGACTCTAAGTGCGACCCCTCGGTCTTCTAGTCCGTAGCCAGTCGCTGTACCGACTGAGCTATCCCGACTCCTAGCTACTAAGGATCAGCTTGGAAATATTAAAGGTTAAATTTCATGAGATACAACTCGCAGTCATGTAGGCTACTTGGTTCACTGCGCATGCGGCTCAGCCGTCTCGAATCCCGCCCCAGACAGGAATGTATATGCTCTCCTATGTAAATCGTGTGATGGGCTGATCTATCATCCAGAGAACTCTAACCAAACAAAGAAATTCGTGCTTTCAGAATGAAATGCGAATCGAAGCAAATAGAGCGAATTTTGTCACGTGCGTCAAGGGAAATTTAATTGTACATTATCCGTTAATTGTATGAGCACAAATTTATTTGCAGTTCATTTTGAACAGACAACATAGTAAGAAATAGAACAGTAAATTTTCAGTTGTTTAACAGCATTATACATACCCCCTCACGTTTCTGTACACAAAATGACTCACGCTTTTCTGAAAGGTAGGTTAGTGGGTTCGACAACGTTTCAAACTACGCTGAAACTCTGCGACCTCTAATGCTACCTCTTGCGTCACATACGTATATATGCGGTTTGAGAAGTCCAGTTCACAGGTTCTTACGTCGAAGAAGTCGAGCTGGGCAGATCTGGGCATAGCCCCTAGTCGGTAGGAACCGTGGTCCAGCATACCGCGGAAGGAGGTGAAGGGTAACTGCAGGGGGCGCCCGGCACTCAGTACTGAGATGTAGTTGCCTGCATAGCCGGCGAGCAGCACTGCAGCACACAAGTGGGCCGTGAAGCACACCATGCGGCCAGGGTTGGAGCGTGGCAATACGTAATGACCTGCAAATATTCCATAGTTTTTGCCTTTGGACTACAGAGCTCTTACATAAAATTGAAACGAAACAGTCAGGTGAACCTGTGTGCATGGTGAAGATTGCCGGGAGTTCCCCATGAAGCTTCAGGTAGAATTTATATCTCCATAGTAGACGTCCTATTGTGAGGATGGCGACTGTTTCTCTCTGAAACGCTGTTACCCACCTATTGAGCTAAACGACAGAGAGTCTCAAACTTTTGTTACGTTGAGTTCCTTCTGTCTTTTTAAAGGATCTGCAGCTCCATCACAGGATGAACAGAGCTTCTCTTGTTCTGGGAAGGACATTCTTCAAACTGATATACAACTTAGTGCGAAAACAAATAATTGGGGATAATCTGAACAGTATAAGACGTGAAACCAACAGGCATTTCAGGAACAAAAAAGGGAATATCTGAAAGTCAAAATTGATGAGCTTGCAACGAACAGCAAGAAAAAAAATATTAGAGACTTGTATAGAGGAATAAATGACTTTAAGAGGGGTTACCAACCTAGAAGGAACTTAGTGAAAGAGGAGACTGGTGATCTGCTTGCAGATTCTCACATTTTGAATAGGTGGAGGAACTACTTCTCTCAGTTACTGATTGTACATAAGGGCCAGTGATGTTAAGGAGACATAAATACATACTTCTCAGCCGTTAGTACCTAGCCTTAGTCCTTTGGAGGTTCAAGAAGCTATTGCAAAGTTGATAAAGTACGAACCGCCAGGTGGTGAAGAAATCCCGGCAAAACTGATTCCAGTGAAAGGTTAAATTTTACAGTCTAAGATCCATGAACTCATTCATTTTATCTCAAGTAAGGAAGAATTGCCAGATCAGTGGAAGGAGTTCAATATTGCAACATTTTCAAAGAACGGTGATCAAACTGATTGTAGTAATATAGACAAATATCACTTTCATCAACTTCATACAAAATGTTATCCAATATTATCCTCTGAAGTTGAAGTGAAATTATATGAAATTATCGGGAATCGTTAGTATGGGTTTCGACCTAACTGATAAACTATAGAGCAGCTACTTTACATTTGTCAGATAAGGTAAAAAATTAAAGCTATCCCTGTAACAGGTCATGGAGACACATGGGTCTGTGAGACATCGAGACTCCAACATTTTCTGGACAATCGGCTAACAGATGGCGGTGAGGTTGTCAGCCTTACGCTTCGGCCGCTCTGTACCTCCAGAAAGGTTCCTGGTACTCATTTCTCTCACGGGTTGAATCGACCCTAGGGCCATAATGCGGCTTGAAGAATTAGGTCAATTGAAAATCCACTGACCTCATATGGAATTCTGCACATGTTTCAACAAACAACTCTATTGTGTGCCCCTTCCATTCCCGCTATGCTGGATAAAATCCTGCAGAACAGTGAAACAGTACATCAGTTATTTCTAGACTTCTAGAAACTCGTGATTCATTCAGAAGGGAAGAATTGTACAATATTCTGATAGAGTTTGGGGTACCTATGAAAGTAGTCAGGCTCCATTAGAATGTGCTTAAATGAAGCCAGCAAGAAAGTCCGTATAGGTAAACATTTGTCTGATACCTTTCCTATTCAGAATGGCCTAAAACAAAGAGTTGCTTTATGGGTATTGCTTTTCGAGTTTGCTTTAGAATATGGATTTAGGAAGGACCAGGAAAATCAGGTGGGACAGAAATTAAATGGGGCACATCAACTGCTGCTATATGTTGATGGCAGATTACATACGAACATTTGGTTCGTCATGCCTCTAGACATGAACAGTAACAGTAACCAGTTTGTGTTACGTGCTCAGTTTGTTTCGTCATACCTGTAGTCATGAACACTTACAGTAACCAGTTTGTGTTAAGTGCTCACTTTGGTTCGTCATGCCTCTAGACATGAACAGTAACAGTAACCAGTTTGTGTTAAGTGCTCACTTTGGTTCGTCATGCCTCTAGACATGAACAGTAACAGTAACCAGTTTGTGTTACGTGCTCAGTTTGTTTCGTCATACCTGTAGTCATGAACACTTACAGTAACCAGTTTGTGTTAAGTGCTCACTTTGGTTCGTCATGCCTCTAGACATGAACACTAACAGTAACCAGTTTGTGTTAAGTGCTCACTTTGGTTCGTCATGCCTCTAGACATGAACAGTAACAGTAACCAGTTTGTGTTGCGTGCCCAGTTTCGTTCGTCATGCCTGTAGCCATGAACACTTACAGTAACCAGTTTGTGTTAAGTGCTCACTTTGGTTCGTCATGCCTCTAGACACGAACAGTAACAGTAACCAGTTTGTGTTAAGTGCTCACTTTGGTTCGTCATGCCTGTAGCCATGAACACTTACAGTAACCAGTTTGTGTTAAGTGCTCACTTTGGTTCGTCATGCTTCTAGACACGAACAATAACAGTAACCAGTTTGTGTTAAGTGCTCACTTTGGTTCGTCATGCATCTAGACATGAACAGTAACAGTAACCAGTTTGTGTTACGTGCCCAGTTTGGTTCGTCATGCCTGTAGCCATGAACACTTACAGTAACCAGTTTGTGTTAAGTGCTCAGTTTGGTTCGTCATGCCCGTAGACGGTAGGACGCAAAGATCGGCTTCTGAAGGAGAAGTTCAGGGGCAGATAACTGGGATCTCTGTAACATTACGTACCTTGCTGGCAGAATATTCCCAACATAGACAGCCATGAATCCCGAAGGCCGAACGGCAGCTCATTGCGGTTGCCATGGCGACGTTGAATGGTGCAGATGATGGATAGAGCAAGTGTCAGGATAGCGAGAACAGCCAGCACGCAGAACCAGAGGCGCGAGGTGAATGGGGCCAGGGAACTAGTCCAAGGTAGAGAATACACTTCAGGCCGTCTGATATAGACATTCGTCCTGAGAAATGCAATTACACGTCAGTAATGGAGTACCTTAATTATTGTCAGCTTAGAGCTAACGTCCAGTGCCAAGGCTTGTAACATTTCGCAGCCTGTACGATATTCGCGGTGAAGCTGGAAGTCGTCCCCTGTACCAGGAGGCACTCCATGCAGTGTTGATGCTGGCAGGAAACCCTGCTGCAAAGGGCCTAGTGCAGACCCGAAGGCAATATCAAAGTGAATGTTAAGAAATTGGTCTTCGGCGCCTCTTGAATTTAACTGAGGGAGGGCGGGACCCAATGGCGTATTCTCGTGAACATGACATGAAATTTCGGTTCTGAAAATGGAAGGCAATTCCTTGCTAGCTGAGTAAACATTGGCTCCTCAAGAAGGGCACTGCTCCATGAAATGTGCTGCTTAGATATTTTGTTGATTAGTTAGTTTACTCAGACGACTAAACTGTGAGAGAACTAGCTAACTGCCCCGTAAGAATTACGGACCTTAACGTATCTTGTGTGTGACTGTAGAACTGAACACGACACAGTTCAGGCGGTTAGACGCCGGCTCCTCATCACGGCGGTCCTGGTTCCATCTCCGGTAAGGTCTTGTGGCCTTCAAACACCTCAATTTTCACAGCCAATTGTCACCGCATCAAACCCTCCTGTTCTCTCGTCAATTCTGCAGAGATGGTACAGAGGTCTATTCGTGTATGACATGAGTGCTCAGGACTTAGTATAGAGGTAACGTTCCCACCTCATGACTCGTGGTACGCGGGTTCAAATACCCGGCGGAGGTCGTCGAATTTTTAAGGGCGGAAAAATTCAGGGAACAAGTCCTCCGGGAGGGACTTTAAGCTGTGTGTCCCGTGTCGTAACTTTACGGCACGTAAAAGAACCTCATATCCCCAAAGGGGATCACTGAGCCAAATTCCAGGAGGTTTCCCGCCCAACAATAGTCTCTAAGGCCTCTGATAGATGGGGGAAACATTATAGATACCGCTCAGCAAGTGGCCGAACTCGCTTGCTCGGCGGGACTGATGGTACGCACCATTTATCGGTAGGGTATAGAGACTGGTAGAATATCATAGAGGGAAGCACAATAGATCAAACTGGTCGCGGTGCATGGGGAAACCCACCCTCTCTAAATAACTACACTAAAAAAAACTAGTCTCGCATTACTCTGTGAACTGAGGGCAATATGTCACCGTGCATGTGTTAAATTCGATTTTATTTGTATTAATCTCTGTCCTCCAAATGTTAAGAGGGGTCAAAATCAAATTTTTTACCTTGCTTCTGCACTGAATGTTGTCGGCCATGTTGATTTTGTGTAGTGTAATTCACTTCATGGGCATCTTTCCAGGCTTGAATGAACTTCCACGTAAGCTGCGTGAGTACTCTGATAGATATTGATTAAACTCGAAATGAGGTAGTTTGTCGCATGAATAATTGTTATGGGGCATTTTACAGTTATGTTGGTATTTAGATGAGGGCTCCTCAAGCGGAACTCTGCTAAATGGAGTCAGATATTACTGACAATTTAATATCAATTATCTTCTTCTTCTTCTTCTTCTTCTTCTTCTTCTTTTTGTAATCTATGTCTCATCAGACAGGACATTTACACAACGGAGTCGCCCGTCAAATAGTTTCAAATGTTAAATAATAACATACAACATAAAAACTGGCCCCGAACACCACACCAGCCACTGTGTATATAATACGTCCGTATAAGAATTACGTATATTACCATTACAATTGCACAACTTCGAAGTACCGTCATGACTATGTAACTGGTTATTTAAGACTTCAAATTTGATTGTAATTTATATTTTATATTCACTTATATCATTTTATACCATTGTATACACTTGGAAGTTTAGCACTGTATCCTGTATTTGACATGGAATTCAATAACGAAAGGTTTAATATATTTGCTTGATGATGGCCTTTTGGAGGCCGAAACATATAGCAAAAGTATCTCCTTGAGCTACTCACAAGTATTATTGATTGTTGTGCTGTGACGTTTTTCAGTAAGAAATAATAGAGGTTATCTTTGTGTATTTTCAAAGTTGAACCTAAATGTAATTTGTGGTGTGTAGTGTGATATTCCTTCAAAAGATGGTGCTAGTCATGTCGAGTGCCAGAGCCACCTTGTTGGAAGCTACCTCAATGAGACCCCACCAGTTCAATGTCGTGTAGAGTATTACTCACGCTCACACGACTTTTGCTTGTGGGGTCCCTGTAAGTATGTGGTACATCGTGATAAACAACTGCCATTGGAGGCGTTACAGGGAGACATTAAAACGTCACTTGCGCTATCTGAGTCGTGGCTGCTGTACACTTGCCCGCCGAACTCAGAAATGTCTGCAAGTTGAGGGTGGGCACTCTGAACACTTGTTCCACTTCAAATTAGGACCACCGTTAAATTATTTAAGCAAATATTTTGTACGTTCAAGTCTGTATGCATTTTTAGACGCCCTGTATATATGATTAATTTCTTTTGGTTTCCATACGGGGGGGTGCCCGCTTAGAATGTCAGCTGAGATACTGACTCTCATGACTGCAGTTATCGTGGTTTCAGTCAGTCCCTCCAGGAATATTCCTGGATAGTACCATAAATTGGATTCCGTTGGCTTCCTTCCACGCGATTTCTAATCTATCGTCCCTTCAGTCACCGCTGTAGAGTCCGCGCTACTGAGAGCGTCCTTAATTCTGCTAGAAATACATAATATGAAAATACGATACTACTGATATTACCATTGTGAGTGTTACAGACATGTGACAGAACTCACGAGCAGATAAAAAATATATTTTAATATAATTCTAGGGCTACGTTTGTGCAATGTGCTTGTTTGTAAGTTCGTATTCAGTCCACGCGAATGAAGTCTCCAGTGACTGATCTGTAACTTAGGGGCGACGCGTTTCAGTGCTTATGCACCATCGGGCGAGTCCCCTGTTACATCAACAACGGCACGAAACTTCCAGTCAGTCTGCCACTGAGACCACATATCACCACAATCACCACTGACTGTGTGAACCCGACTTCTTGGCATGATAATGACAAGTTTCATAATTCTGATTCATTCATAAGTTCATGCTGATCGATATTCAAATTTATTCCCTTTTCTTCCCATTTTATCGACAAGCGATGGTTCAGAATCCTTTATTTGTAAATCGATGAGAAGCTATTGCATATTCTATATCGCATACGATTTATCTTGGTTTTTAACCATAACTGTTGCTCGGTGGACCACTGCGTGCCGCTGATATCCAAGTTAGAACACACACTAGACCCCTAGTCTGCGCGACTTTATTTTCTGTGGAGTTTTACTTAGAACGATGGTCGCCATAAATCGATGAAATTTGATTAAAGTCATCACACCGTTCTCGAGGAATATGCAACTTAATTTTAGGGCCCATGTTAAGGGTCTGCTTTTTGAAGCTGCAACGTCCATATGCGCCTTGAATCGCGGTGTGATACATAGTCGCTAAGCATAGAATTCTATACGCAGCTCGTTATGGTAAATTTACTTCCATGTTAACAACTTGCTTCGACCTACACGGCCATCTTCAGGTGTCTATTATAGCTAAAACTGCGATACACAGCGGTATGTCACAATTTCATTTCACTTGTAATACAACACTCCTTAATTTAATATAATAATCATTAAATTATTAAATATCTAATATTAATAAAATTCGTCAAATATACATATTTGCATATACAGAGAGAAGGAATTCCAAAAAGGAATATTCTTATCCACGTGGGACTGATGATAAGTAAATCCGTCAGACGCGTAAGTTCGCTTATGCACTATCGCAATACAGACCTAGTACTTCTTGTACGAGGAAGTACAAAATTCGTTTTTCAGTGTCTAGGGAAGTGTACTGGCATGTGATGAATGTGCCACACGCGTGAAATCTTTTCACTTATAAAACCATATCATCACCATCACAGTCAATAAGTATGCTTTTGGATCCGGTTTGTCCAATTCAACACCTGCATTTGAGCCAGCTGTCCCACCATTTTGTTTCTGAGACCGCCATTTCCAAACATGTTCAGATACTCGATATTTTCCCAATGTTTCCAGACCCGGATGCTGTAATTTGTTTTAAGTTAAAACATTTAATTTTTCCAAGTGTAAAACTGTGCATTTCACAGAGAGATCTCTGACTGTAGCACTTCAGTACATGACGTTAGTGTGGGAGTTGGGGGGGGGGTACTTGGATGGATGTAGGTTGTGAGAGTATGTTACGGTGGATTTTGCTATGAACTTTACTGGAATTTCAGGTTGCAGCACCACAGATATTTGTTAAGATCGGTCACATTAGCCGCGCTTTCTAAGGCACGAAATGTCTCCTCTTAGTGGAACACAAAGATCGTGGTTTCGAGTCTCACTAGAGACGTGGATATACAGCGGCTATTTTTCTGTGCTATGTTATCCTGTGTACGTAGCGGCCTTGTGGCGGTCTCATCCCACTTCTGTGGCTTGTAGTCCGCAAGCGAACCATACCGACCGAGAGACCGCCTCTTTTCGGCGAAGTTAGTGCCAACTTTAACGTATAGAGAGTGTCGCGTGGTCAGGGCAACGTATTCCCACGGCTGTTAATCTCGGTTTTCTAGACCGGAGCAGTAGTACCAACTGTCTGTAAAATTCAGAGTTTCATATTATTTAAAAGTGTGAACAAGTCAGAGGGGCTAATCCGTCAAGGAGAAGAATAAGAATAATATACTTGGCAAGTTAGCTAGGCAACCAGTAGATAAATCAAGTTCTTAACATATGCAACCTCTTACATCAAGTTCTCCTTACGCTCACAGAAGAGAAACGGGGCCTCTGTTTCAGCATTCACTAAAAGAGGCGAAGATTTGTCGTGACTTTTAATTGCACTAGGAAAGCAGTTGGTCGGGACAGTAATTTCCTCCATTATATTGTTGTATATGGAGGCAATAAAGAAGGAAATTTGGTTAATAGGAAGATCAAGTCAAAATTTAAGACATAGATTGTACAAAAAGGAAAATATTGTGGCGCCTGGACTTTCACGGATGTATTTACATTATTTCCAAATTTATTTAGTTTTCCTAGCCAGAAGGCAAACTTTCGAGGCAGTACGTGACCGATTTGGAATAACATCCTATCACCACATCGGTAAAAGTCCAAGAACAGGGCCAAAGTACAAAGTAAGCAATACCCATATACACATCCTCGAAGAGAGATGTGTCGTCACGAGGGGAAAGTTCTGCCAGAGGCGCCTGGAGAAACAACCCCTGCGAAACTTATATAAACTCACTAAAATAAACTGACGACAGCTTTCTGATCAGTCATACAGAGTCGGGGACTCTGTGCTGCTTAGAGACTCGGCCGTGCCATTGGCCTTAGGCAATTACCTGTTTCTCCATTGTATTTATGTATTTTGAGTAATAAACACCTTGTTTCAAGCTAATTCTTCGTCAGTTAACTTCATCACCAAAAGCAACGGAACTACGGCTCCCGCTCGGCCAAGCACTCCGTCGTCCAGCCTTAGGGATACGACACTATTACAGAATTTTCTACGTAAAAATTCTACTAGTCACATGGTCTGAATAATTTTCTATAAATAACTTGCTGCCTAACTCAGAAGGGGAGACAGTCCGTAAGATGGACAAGAAATTCCTCGCCCTTTACAGAACTTCAAAATTCACTGCCGTATTCATAACGGTCCACCAACAGACTAGGTTCTCAGCCAGCTGAATCTCATCACCGTAGTTCCAACACCAGTTACCTTGATTTTGTCTTATTAAAATTCTGTATACATTTCTGATGTCCCTCATACGCACTGTATGAACCTTCCTTGATCTGATTTTCCTACTAATGTTTCTTAATAAATACAAATTATGAGGCCCATAACGGTGCAATTGTATTCACACTCCTGTCGCATATAGGCCTAACCTCTCAGGTGAAACTGTTGTACTCAGAACTTATTTTCAAACGCCTTAAAATAATTTCTCCGATTTGGTATGGGACCAAGTCCCGCACTCATTTAAACAACGTGGAAATTTAGAATTTTGCATATTTTAATATTTGGGACTTCTTACAGAAGGTAGAAAAGAAGGTAAAGTTTTCCCTGTGCTTAACTAAACAAGCACTACGCCATGAAGGCGTATGGGGGGAGTGGATGTATAGATACAGGTTTTCTTGATCTCGGCACTAGTTGAAGGTGAGTTGTTAGCTTCACGCCTAAGCCCCAGGTACCCATTTGATAGGAGGCTGGGTGGGCCCCAGATCTAGTCTGGACGACACGGTGAAGAGAAAATTCTTGACCCTACCGGGACTTGAACTCCGACCCTCGGTCGCCTAACCCGTAGCCAGTCGCGATACCGACTGCGCAATCGCGGCTCGGAAAACAAAATATTCGTGTCTGGATAACAGGAAATGTATAAATTGGAAGGAAACCTCACTTTTCTTCCCGTCACTTTGACTCATCTACGTAGGTGCATGTTCGAGACATTTCACAGATGGCAGCCATATCTAATTTATCATTGATATATTTATAAATAATACTGTCGGTAAAGTTGTCCTTACGGTGCGTCTGCAAGACTGTATGTGTAGTCGACTGCATCCATGCGTTCTGTCGTCATGAGGAAGGAGGAAGCTCCCACCACTGCCTCGCCGCGAACCAGCATGCCCACCATCCCATCCCACGTTCCGTTCGCCTTGGAACCGGTGCCGCCATCTACCGACTTGCTGAGCGCACTCCTGCGGCAGAAACACTGTGACAGTCCAAACCTTTTGAAACTCAATGGACGCTATGTTCCTCTTTAGCCATTTCAATAGAGTGACTGATTTATTGGGGAGACCGATCCATTAGCAAGTTATGATTTTGCTTTTTGCATCTGCACAGGAACAACTGCCTTGTTTTGTTATCTGCAGCTTGGGTGACGGCAAAGGGGACGCCGCTATCACGAAAGGCAAGTCTGTAGGTTGCCGAAGATGTAAATTTTGTTTTGCTAATAGGGTAGCTGTTATAAAAGTGTCTTCGGAAGGGTGTAATTGGACCCTTAACTAAGAAATAACCGCTTTCACATGTAGGGTATCGGGTTCTGTATCTTTGGATCTCTTTATTCTCAAAGTTAGTATTGTGATTGTCTAGTGCTAATGGTATGATGAATTGGCAGTTAAAATCAACCAATAGGAATCTATTCTTGTCTGGGAGAAAGGCCGTCGGTTCAAATCCTATACAGGGGATGAAGCGACGCTCCCGCAGGATAGGGTTGGCAGAAGGACTTGGCGTTTTGAATTCATCATAGGAAGACGTCACTGCGCTGCACTCTCCAAGTTTATCTAAATTTATCAGTCTTTATTTGGTTCGATTAATCTTTGATAATAATAAAAAAGGGCACATTACTCCGTACTTGCCAATAAAGTTATAGTGTTTGCTTTTGAAATAAACAATTTGTGGAGAGCAGAAATAGTGTCTTTGATTTCTATCAGTGGACTAGCTTTAAATGTGCAGTTTCACCGTTGCCTCAGTTATTACCGTGACACGATCCTGAGAAGAGTCAAGTGTTCTACCGAAGGGGGCAAATAAATAAAAACAAAGATAGAAAGAGGACGGCTACAAGAAGTGGCGCCCAACGGTTACAATACGTACCGTTACGCCTCGTCTGAGGACGGGCTGCATGCAGCTATACTTCTGCGGCTCTGTAGCAGGACTATAAGCCAAACTTGCACGGCGCTATATCCTAGATTATAGTACCTTTATGACCAGCGTTGTGACAACTTCAGATGCTACGTAATTTTCGATTGTGTCTAGGCACAACGTCACCAAAGTGTTTTCTGCGAATGGGTTTGAAGATCCACATGTTCTTAACTTGCAGTAGAGGTTACACTAAGATGGAGGCAACTGACCAGGCTGACAGAGAACCTGATCATCTTATGCTTAGTATAAGGAACAATAGAATCATTCTTGAAGAAACTGGTAAAAGCCCCGCGCGTTCTTAAACCGAGATGGACAGTTGGAGGTAACTGGCCGGGCTCATAGACAATATTCATTGCTCTTTTGTTCAATATAAGAAGCAACAGGGTCGTACTTAAAGAAACTGGTATAGAGATTATAATCATAAAGTAATCAGAGGAAACAAAATTATTAAAAATGAATACGCAATTACAGATACATAAATAATTGTAAACACTAATTTACCAGTGAGAATATCATAGTTAATATGTATTGTTTTCTTACAAGGCACGAAATGAACACACAATGTTGAGGAAATCTGTACACTTCACATAAGACACTACTAAATAGACTTCAACAAAATTTCAGGTGTAGAATAATTGATTTTAGATCCTATTGCCCCCACCGCCCCCAGTACATAAAGCTCAAAGCAAATGCTATCGATGTCATTGATAATGTATCATCAGGCAAGATATAGTATTATTCAAGAAGTCTACATCATAGCAACATAGCAAGAAATAATTTTGAAAATATATGTATGAATACGAACAGGGGCAGTCCTCATCAGCCAACAGTAAAAAGAAAATCAACAGGGAAACATCTCAGAAACTTCGATCAGCAACCAAACAAACACAACAGCACGACACCGGGAATAGACAAGCAACCATAAAAACAACTAATTGTAAGTTTTATGACAAACCACAATTAAACAAAATTTTGAAAGTTTTACGTGTAAACCTAAAAAATGTTAATCTCATTAAGAGTTTTCATTACTATCAAGCTCACAGTGCATTATCTTAAGAAACAGAATAACAGATGTACCTGATGACGGTAAAATAGTGATCGAAACACGTTGTTCTACAAACAAAACATCATTCCTGATTAACGCTGGTCTCTTGCTTGAACTATTCGTCGATCCTGAAGATGGAAACGACATGATCTTCCGAAACGCCGGCTGGTTCTTAACGAACTATAAGACATTATATCTGCGAAAACATAACCCTAAATAACCACCACTGGGAGAGACTCACATTCTGAGGGAGCCATACATGTCGCAGAAACTTCTTCAGAGCCAATGTTAGTAACATGAACCTCATGTACCAGCTTCCTCTCTCTTCAGGTGTGTCCACTGCAGACATCCGCATTCTCACTGGTTCTATCTCAGAGCATACCGCAGACAGCAACGGACAGTACCTGAAGTTCCTATATATCCATCTCCAGCATGCTTCACATAGAACTATGCTCACTGCAGACATTCGCATTCTCACTAGTTCTATCTCAGAGCATACCGCAGACAGCAACGGACAGTACCTGAAGTTCCTCTATATCCATCTCCAGCATGCTTCACATAGAACTATGCTCACTGCAGACATTCGCATTCTCACTAGTTCTATCTCAGAGCATACCGCAGACAGCAACGGACAGTACCTGAAGTTCCTCTATATCCATCTCCAGCATGCTTCACATAGAACTATGCTCACTGCAGACATTCGCATTCTCACTAGTTCTATCTCAGAGCATACCGCAGACAGCAACGGACAGTACCTGAAGTTCCTCTATATCCATCTCCAGCATGCTTCACATAGAACTATGCTCACTGCAGACATTCGCATTCTCACTAGTTCTATCTCAGAGCATACCGCAGACAGCAACGGACAGTACCTGAAGTTCCTCTATATCCATCTCCAGCATGCTTCACATAGAACTATGCTCACTGCAGACATTCGCATTCTCACTAGTTCTATCTCAGAGCATACCGCAGACAGCAACGGACAGTACCTGAAGTTCCTCTATATCCATCTCCAGCATGCTTCACATAGAACTATGCTCACTGCAGACATTCGCATTCTCACTAGTTCTATCTCAGAGCATACCGCAGACAGCAACGGACAGTACCTGAAGTTCCTCTATATCCATCTCCAGCATGCTTCACATAGAACTATGCTCACTGCAGACATTCGCATTCTCACTAGTTCTATCTCAGAGCATACCGCAGACAGCAACGGACAGTACCTGAAGTTCCTCTATATCCATCTCCAGCACGCTTCCAATAGAACTATGCTCACTGCAGACTTTCGCATTCTCTCTGGTTCTGTTATCAGATTGCCACAGATAACTGGACAATGTTACTCACGTGAAATTCAGCTCTCTTTCCAGCTCGCTCCATATGTATCCGATGTAGCCAGTCAATGTCTCTCTGCTTCCCGTCCGGTCCAGAAACACATACGTTTCCTGAGGAAACATAAAACATTAAGAAGCTTGAAACACTTGCTCGAACGTCCTGCAACTAGTTCCCTGAACGTAAGATGATTCAGTGCTTCGGCACCGAGCTTCGTGACTTTCATAACTCTGAACGCACATTGTAGCTCCCTTCAGTTACTCTACAATGGTTCTGTAGTGTTCTCTCCCACACCCTTCCCAATTCACCTACGTAACCTATTCAGTTGGCAAAATTCTTCAGTGAAACCCAGACATATTTTCTAATTAAGAACTAAAAACTATACCGTAAAGAATTGAATACGGTAGATAAGCGCTTTTCCTCCGGGCATAGTCACCACACTGTCATGGTTTAATTTCCAATTTATTCTTCCTTCTGTGTCTGTGATATTAAACACAACAACGTTCGATTTCGTATAATATTATTATATTAATATTTAATGAGAGTGTATTAGACAAGAGATCAAGTGACAGGAGCCTCATAACTTGTACTCTTCTCCAAGTATAATTAGAATTATGAAGTTAAGGAGGATGAGGTGGGCAGGGCATGTAGCACGAATGGGTGAGAAGGTGAATGCATGTAGGATATTGGTGGGAAAGTCAGAAGCAAAGAGACCACCGGTAAGACCAATGTATAGGTGGGTGGACAATATTATTAAAGTCACTTGACTTGGCCCCACACAAGCCCCGCTGCTGGTTTCGCTACGTGGACTACACCTTCGTCATCTGGCCACACGGTCCTGACAAGCTCCAGGACTTCCTGAACCACCTAAATAGTATCAACCAGTGCATCCAGTTCACAACGGAAACTGAAACTGAGGGCCACCTCCCCTTCCTCGATATAGATATTTACAGGAAAGCCGACGGTTCTCTGGGCCATAGAGTGTACCGCAAATCCAGGCATACAAACCTCTACCTTAACGCTGCGTCCCACCGCCCTTTCAACAAGCATGCTGCACTTTCCCCATTGGTGCACAGGGCCAGAACACTGTGTGATCAAGACAGCCTACATGCGGAGTTGGTGCTCCTGAGGGATGTATTCAGGAAGAACGGGTACAACAACCGGCAGATCCACAGAGTTCTCAACCGTCGGCCCAACATCAGCCGGCCGGAAGACAAACCGGGCTCAGTCGCCTTCCTTCCCTATGTCGGGACTGTATTCAACCGTATCAGCAGAGTGCTGTCCCGGCACAACATCATATCAGTCGGTCTGCCTCCAAACAAATTATCTAGTTTCCTTCGGCCGGTCAAAGAGAGCCTGGGACAAAGGACACCAGGAGTATACAGTATCTCATGCGAGTACGGCAAGACAGGCAGACAGGCCGCTCCGTGGACATGAGGTTGAAGGAGCATCAGCGGCACATCCGTCTCGAACATCCGGACAAGTCAGCCGTAGCTGAACACAGCATCGATCTGGGACACCGTATTCAGCTTCAGAATACCTCCATCCTTGCCACCAAGACCCGCTATGTGGATCGCATCATTAGGGAAGCCATTGAGATTGAACTCCATTCCGAAAATATGAACGGGGGGCGGGGGTTGTCTCAGCAAGTCATGGAAACCTCTCAACTGTTCTCTTAACCCCCCCTCCCGGGATATGACGCCAGATCCAGAAGGTCACATAGGCCATGACCGAATAACATAACAACCCCCACACCCACCCAACCCCCCAGCTTAAGGGTTAGTGCCCATCCTTTAACCTTGCCTTTCTCTCCCCCAACACAAAACCCTGCTTTTGTCCCAGCTCCTTTCCCCCTCTCCCGCTCCACTGATTTCACATGTAGACTTGCCCTTCCCCCCTTCCTTCACTGCTCTCACATAGCTGTGTATATTTCCAACACCAGTCTGCTTGTACCGTTTCTCACGGTCTCTTCGCCTGCTGATTTCTTATATTTTTCCTTCTACCCTGAAGATGGAGGCGATACGTTCCTCCGAAACGTCGGTTAACACCACATATACACGGTGCCAAATCCCAGAAGACTACTTTCTTCTTAATACTGAAGTCGATCTTAGAGAAATGTGGTAGGATGATTTGCATTGGATTGATCTGGTTTATGATAGGGACCTGTGAAGGGCTCTTGTGAACACGGTAATGAACATTCGGGTTTAATAAAATGCTGTGAAAATTCTTGAGCAGCTTCAGAATGGGCCGCTCCTCCAGAAGGGCTCAGTTCCATGAGTAAGTAAGTATATTATTACGTATTATTGGGGGACGCGATATTGTAGTTTGTTGAGGCACTATGCTATAAGCCGGAAGGTCATTTTCCGATGTCATTGGATTTTATTTTTCAATTGGCCTAATCCTTCCAACCGCACTATGGCCCTGGGGTCGACTCAACCTCTAACAGAAATTAGTACAAATAATCTTCCCGGGGATAAAAGACGGCCGGCGCATTAGGCTGATTACATCACCGCCATCTGTGAGCCGATTACCTAGAAAATGTGGGAGCCTCGACGTCTCACAATGGGCCTCCCCGGCCTGTTACAGTAATAGATTTAGTTACTAACTATACTTATTATTTTAAATTATTATATTAATACTTTTATACAATAATCAGACGTTGTGTGACGGTACACAAATTTTAATACACTGTTATAGCCTGTATTCTGTCACAACTCGTCTATTATTTTACAACGCTACATCATTCACTTCATGCAAGTACTGTTAGAGACAAAGGCAGTCCACGCCTACATGACTTGGAAGCATGAGTCCCATAGTTGAACTTATAATTATTTTGGATGAGCAATCAAAGACTCCTGGGAACTGATCTACCATATAGTGCGCATGCGTGCTGCCAAATACATACCAGACAACAACTGCAGATCTAAGGCTATACATGTACTCAGCAGGATAAACATGAAAATTAATTTTCATCACGAAATAAATTTATTACTCTGACCACAATATTTTGCGTATAAATACACGTTGAACCAAGTCAAGGCGTACACAGCGTCCAAACAGTTAGAACGCAGAGACATATCGGGATAGCACACAATATATTGAGATGATATGTCGCATCGCAACAGCCCCAAGATTTAATACAACTCACTTCCGGGCGAAATAACTTCCACGTTGCGAGAGGCTCAGACAACTTGCACTCACATTCAACTATCACACAACTTCGGGACTTCAGTTCCACTTTATGTTTCCATAACTTCATCATATTGTTCTAGTTTAGTTGTGTAACATCTAATTCTTTATTCGTACTGCTAAAATTCTATATTCTTATCATACAATAACTTTTTAACTTATTAATTAATTCGATATAACATTATTCGACCGCCTCTGTGGTCTAGTGGTCAGATTTCCTGGCTACAGATCCAGAGGTCTGGGTTCGATTCCTGGCGCTACCAGATTTTCGGAGACGTAGTTGGTCTGAAACAGGGTCCACTCAGCCTCGTGAGCATAATTGAAGAGCTATTTCAAGGAAATAGCGGCTCCGGTTTAGAAAACCGAAATTAACGGACGTGGGGGTTCGTTGCCTGACCAAGAACATTAGATAATTGTATAGAGGAATAAATTACTTTAAGAGAGGGTACAAACCTAGCAGTAACTTAGTGACGGATGAGAATGTTGATCTGCTTGCAGATTCTCACAACATTTTGAATAGGTGGAGGAACTACTTCTCTCAGTTACTGAATGTACATAGGGCCAGTGATGTTAGGAGACAGAAATGCACACAGCTGAGCCGTTAGTGCCTGATCCCAACCCTTTTGAGGTTGAAATTGCTATTGCAAAATTGAAACGGTATAAATCGCCAGGTAGTAATAAAATTCCGGCAGAACTTATTCAAGCAGGAGGCGAACTACGTGTATCACGGTCTAAGATCCTTAAGCTAATTAATTCTTCTTGGAATAGGTATAAATTGCCTTATCAGTGGAAGGAATCTATTATTGTGCCAGTTCACAAAAAGGGTGATAAAACTGACTGTAGTAATTATCGGGGGATATCACTGCTATCAACTTCATACAGAATTTTATTCAATATTCTTCTCTCAAAGTTAAGTCCATGAAAGTAAAAAAGTAAAGCTAGCCTTTTACCAGGCCGTTAAGGCCCATAGGGTTATGAGACATTGAGGTCGCACATTATCTAGACAATCGGTTCAAAGATGGCGATAAGGTTGTCAGCCTTACGCACGGGCCGCCCTTTACTTCCAAGAATATTATTTAATTAATTCCTGGTACTCATTTCTGTTAGATGCTGAGTGAACCCCAGGGCCATAGTGTGGCTGGAAGGAATAGGCCAATTGAAAAAAAGTCTAATGACCTCATCGGGACTCGAACCCGCGACCTTCCGGGTTGTAGCATAGCCGCGGTTAAGTCCATGCATAAATGAAATTATTGGGGATCATGAGTGTGGGTTTCGACGTAACAGACCAACTAATATTGGAGAAAAAATGGGAGTACGAAGCGACAGTACATCAGCTATTCATAGACTTCAAGAAAGCCTATGATTCAGTTAGGAGGGAAGAATTGTACAATATTCTCACAGAGACTGGGGTACCCATGAAATTACTTAGGCTGATCAAAATGTGTTTAAAACTAAACCTATGTAAAGTCCGTATATGTAAACATTTGTCTGATAAATTTTCCTATCCAGAAAGGTCTAAAAGAATGAGATTCCTTTCATATTTGCTTTAGAATATGTCATTAGTAAGGTCCAGGAAAGACCGCGCCATAGCTCAAGCGGTTAGCCGCTGGCTTCCCATCGCGGCGGTACTGGTCCAAGCCCGGGTCTCCTCATGTGGGTTTTGTGGTGGACTAAGTGGCGCTGGGATAGGTTTCCTCTGATAGTCTTTATTCCACCAATTGCTCCACAATTACTCTCATCTATCATCTAGGGCTGGTACATTAAGACAGTAATGGCCACAGTACCGAGTGGAATCAGTCTCATCCCAGTAAGAACAAAAGAGGTCCAGGAAAACTATTTTGGACTCGAATTAAATGGGACATGTCGGCTACTGGTCTACGCTGATGATATCAATCTAAAAAAACCATAAAGAAAAAGCACATAAACTTTAGCTGATGCTGCATTTCACGGCACTGTACTGTCAGGATAATTACTACGAAACTTTCCTATATAGAAAGATACCGTGTCAGAATGATTCTGTTGAATACTGTCAAATATTGGAAATCTAGCGGTGCTGAAGGTGTATTCCATGGAGACAAGCCAGCGAGCTTAGCGTTCAGAAGTGGACCTGCATGGGCCGGTGTAAGCATAAATTGCGTTTATTGAATCTCTATGGTTATTGAACTTAGTTGCAATGAATTGGCCCAACCGACAACAAGGGGATGTGTGTACATTTTCGTTGATTGCAGTTATTTCAAGTTCATCGATTTGGTTTAATTATTTACTATAAAATAAAATTATTGTGAAAGCAAATCTGTTAAATTTTGCCTTAATTTTTTAATTTCACGCTAGAGCTTTGTGTTCAATATCACTTGTATTCTCTGGCTACGTACTGAAGCCTTCATCACGTGCCTAGTGAAACCCAATAAGTAAATACGAGTAATTTTGCACCATTGAAGATAAATCCCGCATGACTGGCACTTTTGGCGGAAGTGAACTGCGTAATATGGCATGTCTGCTTAAAGCAAGGATTGTTGAAGCCAAAGGAGACAGCCATTTTTATGGAAGGACTATGCAAACACGCCCGTTGCTAGGCAATTACTCTGTACACGTCACATGGCGGCAGCCACGCAAGCAGCAACAGAAAAGTTGTTGGAAGAGGTGTTTTCTGTGCGTTAGTCTTGAGACAATATCACGTAGACTAACGGGAAAATGAACGAGTCCTTAACGCCTGTCCCACCCGGGAACACGCGGCGGACGCTCAGCCATTGAAATTGGAACGCCTGCAGAACAGAGCATTCCGCGCTGTTAGATGCTCACCAGTCCGCGAGTTGCACGTGGCTTTCAAAATTCCTCACCGGTACGAGTATATAACTCAATTATGCAGGACAAGGGCAGAAGCAATCCTAAACCATGTAAATCGAAATGTATGTGCTACTGGACAAGTAGAAGCCAAACACAAGAAGTTTAAGACACTTAAACTTGGAAGCGGTCAGACCTACGACCGTTCAGCTGACTACCTGCAGTTTCAGTGTAGTTGCATAAGATAAGGAATAACCTGCTGCACAAGCCTGCATTGACAGGAAATCTCAGTATAAACGTTACTCATTGCAGTGCAGTGACACAGAGCCCACAGTGATCTGGACGCCGTGACAGCGCGGATATACCCGTGCCGAAACTGCGGTGCAACAAACGTAGCGCCTACATAGACACACCGACCCCTGTACAGTGCAGTGCAGTGACACAGAGTCCACAGTGACCTGGACGCCGAGACAGTGCGGATATACCCGTGCCGAAACTGCAGTGCAACAAACGTAGCGCCTAGATAGACACACCGACCCCTGTACAGTGCAGTGCAGTGCAGTGACACACAGAGAGCCCACATTGACCTGGACGCCGTGACAGCGCGGATATACTAGTGCTGAAACTGCGGTGCAACAAACGCAGCGCCTACATAGAGAGGCCGACCCCTGTACAGTGCAGTGCAGTGACACAGAGCCCACAGTGACCTGGTCACCGTGACAGCGCGGATATACCTGTACCGAAACTGCGGTGCAACAAACGTAGCGCCTACATAGACATACTGTTGTGCCCTGGCACTAGATACTAGATATATTTTTGTATTATCATTAATTTTAGTTCATTTGTAATAAAATGGAAAGAACAGTCACAGGATGATGAACCGGAAGTTGAATGAGATCAGACGAATGAGTGTGTGGCATCCGGTAGGCAGCCATTTTATGATGCATCGGTTAGAGAATTACGCGCGTACACAAGTGACCATATATGGGCAAGTTTTGAAACGGCAAGAGACGAACGCCAATGGGAAAAGACTATTCTAGGGCGGTTCCACGCGTGGGTAGTACTCGCGCTTCGCTAGAGACGTATAAAAGCCCCAGACGCGAGTGCTGAAGAGAGGCTTCTGGGCGTAGTTGTTGCTACCGAACTCTGTGACAATGCCAACAATGAAGGGACCAGAAAGAGTCGCCATTCTGTGTCTACTCTGCTGTTCAAGTGAGTACTTGCCTCTTTTCGGGTCACTGTCAGTGGTAAACTAACACACTCAGAATTGTGAACTGAAGGACTGATTTGAGTAGGACTCCATGATGATGAGGCGATAGGCCAAAGAATGAACATTCTGTACTTGTAGTTTTAGTCAGATTTATTTTCATGTTATAAGTTAGGTATCAGAGAGAGAGTGTTGAAGTAATACATCCTCTATGTGTTTTGTACCTGTGTGTTTCATTTTTCCTGGTATCTCCCGAGCCCGGTAAGAGCTATCCACGAGCCCATTAGGGGTCGGCGCTACCCCAACCCCTTGGGGCACAACAATACCGACCCCTGTACAGTACAGTGCAGTACAGTGCAGTAACCCACAGAGCCCACAATGATCTGGACGCCGTGACAGCGCTGATATACTCGTGCTGAAACTGCGGTGCAACAAAAGTAGCGCCTACGTAGAAACCCCGACCCCTGTATAGTGCGGTGCAGGGCAGTACAGTGACACAGAGCCCCAGTGACCTTGACGCCGTAACAGCGCGGATATACTCGTGCTGAAACTGCGGTGCAACAAACGTAGCGCCTACACAGAAAGATTGACCCCTACCTCATCCAAGAGGAGACTCTATTTCGAAACACGTACATGTCTAGGAGGGAACGAAAATCTTGGCCATGAATCTCGACGAGACTGAAGCTAGGAATGACTGTGCTGGAGAAGGTAAGGAGGAATTTAACCAACCGACCGAAGCGAACCAGCCTTGAAACGGCGGTTAGCGCGTTTAGTTCTTGAACCGTAAGAAAGATTGGAACAACCCTTGTGAGGAGATATAACCAGGAAAATACTAGTTGCGTCATGAGATAGAACGTCAGCCACCAGGGACCGTAGCAGTGGAACACGAAAGCTGACAATCTATGGCGTTAGGATCCGTTACCAGGCGGCAACCGGTAAAAAAAAACATAGGACTGAGAAGACTCAGTGCGTCACGTTGCGAATAGCAGTTTGTGTGAATTAGCGATAGTGTTATAGCTACTTGTAGTTACGGTCTGTAAGTGGTCACTAAATTTAATTACAAATACAAACAGTGTCTATAGTCAATCAAATGACAATATATTGTTATGTAAGGTGCCATAATTTTTGACCCGACTTACTTTGTGATCATTTGGGCAGACTTTCCAAGCTAACAACTAATCCTCATTGACTACACCCGAGTGAAATTACGTGAAGGAAAGACCTGAATAGTACTTCTTAGGGACGAGTGTGATAGGATATATTTAGTCACGATTTTGTATGGAAGAGTATTACATTGTATTAATCCGATAGATGTCCACCGATATTTCCGAGGAACATACTAGTAAAATTTGTTCACTCTTCGGCCCTAAATACGGAGGCAATACGTTCCTTCGAAACGTCCGTGGATTTCTATCTATTTACACTTTGTTATATCTCACCAAGATAGCCCTCTTTATGATCGTCGCTACGATAACCTCGAACCCAGAGTTTCCATGTTGCTTCAGTGTGTCAATCCTGAATTTTCCCAACACAGAACCCTTTTGTAATTCTTCAATAATTCTACGCACTTTTATCTACACGAGAAAGTCGGAAAGAGATGAGACAACTTAACTCTGTTCTTTCATCACATGACTCACATGCGAATACCTGAGGTTTCGATTTCAAAATCACCTATCACCAAGTTTCTGGTGCCTTTCTTTCGTACTTCTGTATTCTGAAAATTGTTATAGTTCATATACATCCAAAATAAACGCAACCTAAGCAAAGCTGCATTAATAATGTAGAATATAACTTATTCACTTAGGAGAGATCGGTACAATGTGGATGCAATAGGACCAACCCTAAACGTTGCCCAACTGTAAGAAAACTTATAAGGGTCCCCACTTANAGGCAGCTGCAAAGTGTCGGTCCCCGAAACGGTCCTCTAGTGCCTGAAACGGTCCTCTAGTGCCTGAAGAGTTTCCTCATAAGTTGTATTTGTCGGGATGCCTGGCAGTATTTCCGCCGCCCGACCCTTCAGGGCAGTAATCAGGTATGTCGATTTCTCCTTATCCGTCCAGTGGTTGTGCTCTGCCACGGTCTCGAATTGTCGCCTGAACACACTCCACGTTGAATTCCCGTTGAATGTCGGGGGCTGAGCTGTGCTTGCGACGATCGTTGCTGTATTTCTCCGCTCGGCCTTCATTTGTACTATGTCCAACCGTGCCTGGAACTCCCGTTTGGTTTCCTCAATTGCTGCACAGGTTTTCGTCAGTTCTTCCTGGAGATTTCGTTTGTCGTGTTCAACGACCGCCAAAATGTTTTCAACTCTATGTTGGATTTTATCATCCAATTCGCCTCTCATAGATTGCATTGCGTAGTTGCCAGGTTACGGGGCTCGGCTATCTTCGGCTCCGCTCGTGACGTCACCGCGCGTTGCGCATTGCGGGGTGATTACTCGCCTATTACCGCGAGCGTTACGTTACCGCTGAGGGGTGGGAGGGGAGCGCTGACTCACCCACCGCGTCACTGCTGGTGTGGGGGGGCTCAGATTTCTCAACATGTCACATTATTTATACAAAACATTATCAAACCTGCATCATTATAGCCTTCACAAGAGAACACCACTAGTCCTTATCCTAAGCCAGCTAAGTTCGATTTTAATATTATATTCCAGGTCTTCCCTTGCTTGCTACATGTCCGGTCCATCTTAAACTCCTTGATTTGATTATACTACTAATACTTGGGCCAGAGTACAAGTTTCGAACGTCGTCATTATGTAATGTTTTCAAGCCTGAAAACCAAACGTACGTCCTCCAGCACAGCTGCCTTGATGACGTGTCCGTCGAGACTGGTCCTCCGACGGTACAGCCCCAAGCTGGGCCACTTCCTGTGAGAGCCCGGACGCCAGTCCCCGAAATGCCGGATCTGCAGGGGTAGTTCTGGTCTTACACGGTACACCTCTCTGAGCTGTGTCACCTTGCCACCCCACTGCACCACCAGCAGCTCGCAGTCGAATGGAATTTCGAGGTTCGAGAGCTCGAACTTGGGAGGCATGAACACAAGCCATCTGGCACCCGAGAACCTGCCTGCAGCTGACACCTGTCGGACACAGTGTGACTTAGAGAGAATTGTGCGTGCGGGCCGCATTTCACGCCATAAAAAGCTTAGCGTTCAGCAAGGATATCCCGAATGGATAGAGTTAGCAATGTTGGGAGTGAAGAAAGTCCTATTACAGGAAACAGAAGAGGAGCAGTTAGGTTGGTGCGGCCACTTCATGTGAATGGAGGACTGCAGATTTGCTAAACAGATTGCAGAATGTAACCCACAGGGAGAAGGGAGGCGTGGTAGACAAGTGAGTGCATGGAAGGCTGGGATTAGGGACGGCAAGCAAAGCAGATACTTCATGTGCAATATTATATTTCTGGACATTATCCATCATCTTGTCTTTATCTAAAAACCGTCCTGTTTATTTTTCAAAACACAACGTTTCGGAGACTGGATTCTGTCTCCGTCTTCAGGTAAAACCTACTCAGTTGAGCCCAATCGATAGAGCTAGTCCCTATCTCCGGAAACCTGCATCAGCTTCAAGAAGGGGCACATAAATCAAACACAGCACAAACCATCTGCGCTAGGTAAGAAAATACACAATTATTGAAGTTCCATACAAATGAGGCCCTCGAATGAAATCATTGCCGGAGGGAAGCAAACTCATTGTGGTACCAACACAAGAAAAACAAACAGTTTCCACTCCAACTACACTTGACAGCGCTGTAGTCTCTTGATTTCGGCTGTGATGACAGGGGTCCAGACGGGAGAGATATCCACACTGGCTTGACTGATTGGATGTTCCAGCAGAGACATGTTGGCTGATTCCTTGTATTTCCTGCATGTGGTGCTGGGCTCGGTCTGCAAGACCTTCGCTTTATTCCAACATATTTTGTGGCCTTCTTCGTGTGCATGTTGGGCTAATTTTGACTTTTCAAGCAAACCCTGCGTCAGTTATATTTGCGTTCCTTAATGCGTATTTCTAAAGTTCTGCTTGTTTTGCTGATGTAACATCTGCCAGTCGCATGGGATGCTGTACACACACTGCTTCGAAGGCTGGCCCTCTGATCTACGAGTATTTATTAGCTACTTCGTGCATCAAGATAGTTCTGGAGAATAAAAATATATCAATGGCTTGAGGAAAACTGTGTATTGACAGAAAAATTTATGTACTCATTTATTTGTTTATTTGACTTATTTAACGACGCTGTCAGTGGCACAGGTATTTGGCTTCGAAAGAAAAGGCAATGATTGAAAAATGGATTTCAAAAATGTGAGAGAAAATGGCCATGTCCTTATTTGAGGTACTCCTTTCTATACCTGGAGAGATCGAGGAATACCACAGACCTAAATGCCTAAGCAATACAAGTTACTTTCCTTGTGAGAGAGTTTAGTTCTTAAATATATATCAATTACTCGAAATATATGACCTATAAGACCCACATAAATAATTATAAATGCATTAATAAATACAATATGAAGGAAGTCTGAATTTTCCAGCATCCATGAAACAACTGGGCTCTACAGAATAGGCTGGGGAGATTACGTGTTGAAAATGCCATGCTTCATGTGATCTCAGTCACTCAATTAGATCTTTCTAAGGGGCCAAATTCAGTAGGCGTCTTCCTTTCTCACCTGAAGACGGAAACAGATCCAGTTTCCGAAACGTCGTGTTCTGTATTACCTAGAATTACGGACAATGGAAAAGTCCCAAAACCCAGTAATTCTGTGTGTCATCCACCATCGTCAGAACCCTTTAGAATCTGATGCTTTTATCCATGTGTTTCTGTGTAGGGGGAAATAAAGGCAGGTGAGTGCAACTGAGAACAGTGAGCCCGTACCCCGTACCTGGGAGTACTGAAGGCAGGACATGGCAAAGTTCTTCCTGTGCACAATTAATTAAGCGCCATATCATGAGGTGTAGGAAGGCGGCTGGTACCCATTGCATAGGAGGATTGGTGGGCCCCAGAACTCGTCTGGATGGGTGCGGAAGAGGAAATCGTTCCTTTATACTACCTCCATTACTGGGGCAAGCGGTAGCATAGTTGGTTGAGGCACTTGCTACAAGCCTGGAGGTCGCGGGTTCAATTTCTATTCTAAAACAACGAGATGTTTTATCGCCACAACTTTTCAATTTTCTTTTAGAATATGCCATCAGGGAGTTCCAGGGAAACCAGGTGGGACTGAAATTAAACGAGACATATCAGCTGTTGTTCTATGCCCATGATGTGAATCTACTGGGTGATAATGGAGATACCATAAAGAAAAACACACAAACTTTAACTGACACAAGTAAAGAGACTGGTCTAGAAGAAAACACAAAGAAAACTAAGTATATGTTGCTGTCTTGTCACCAAAATTCAGGCAAAATCATGATATAAAGACAGGAAACAGATGTTTTGAAAATGTGGCACGGTTCAGATATTTGGGAAGGACTATAACAGATCAAAATCTGATTCAGAAGGCAATTAAGAGGAGATTGAACTCGGGTAATGCTCGCTACCATTCAGACCAGAACCTTTTGTCTTCTTGTCTGCTGTCCAAAAACATAAAAATTAGAATATACAAAACTATAATTTTGCCTGTGGTTCTGTATGGGAGTGAAACTTGGTCTCTGACATTAAGGGAGGAACACAGACTGAGGGTGTTTGAGAACAGGGTGTTGAGGAGAATATTTGGACCCAAGAGAGATGAAGTGACAGGAGGTTGGAGAAAACTGCATAATGAGGAGCTTCATAACTTGTACTGTTCTCCAAGTATAATTAGAATGATCAAGTCAAGGAGGATGAGGTGGGCAGGGCATGTAGCCCGGATGGGGGTGAAAAGGAATGCATATAGGATATTGGTGGGAAAGCCTGAAGGAAAGAGACCACTGGTAAGACCAAGGCGTATGTGGGTGGACAATATTAAAATGGATCTTAGAGAGTTAGGATGGTATGGTATTGATTGGATTGATCTGGCTCAGGATAAGGACCAGTGGAGGGCTCTTGTTAACATAGTAATGAACCTTCGGGTTCCATAAAATGCTGGGAAATTCTTGAGAAGCTGCAGAATTGGCGGCTCTTCCAGAAGGGCTGAGCTCCATAAATAAGTAATGAGGTCATTGGATTTTTCAACTGACCTACTACTTCCAGCCGCACTATGGTCCTGGAGTCAATTCAACCTCTAACTTAAATGAGTATCAGGGATCTTCCTGGTGGTAAAGTGCGGCCGGCTCTTAAGGCTGACAAACTCACCGCCATATGAGCCGATTGTCTAGAAAATGTGGGAGCCTCGACGTCTCACAACCTTTTGGGCCTCCACGGCCTATTACAGGGACAGCTTTGTAAGCCCCCACCGCCGTGGGAGCCTCGGGGCTCGCGTACCTCACCTGGCTTAATGTCTGCTGATCCCTGTTCAGTACGACGTAGAGAAGATTTACACACGACCCGGAGGCTTGAAGCAGTAACTGCCGAGTGTGAAGAACGCCTATACTCAAGAGGCCGGCCGCTGCCCTCCACACTGACATCAGCTCCTTGTCTGCAAAAAAGCGCACTCACACAAAATGGTGTACAGAAGAGAGAAATGCCACCCACAAACAAGCATTCTTACACGTGTGGCAGTCCTGAGTTCGAAACTGTGTCATCTGAAAAATAAATGTATAACCTACCTCATTGTTTTTTTTTTTAATTGTTTCATTTTTGGTCCGTTACACTATCAATCACAAAGTTAATAGAAAGTCCGTCCAGTGTAACAATTTGTAGGTCACTTCTTTATCACTTCTGCCTTACATGTTTCGGTTTAATATAACCATCATCAGAGGCACATAGTACAATCATGAAAACACTGTCGTTGTTAAAATGTACACAGTTATGTTTGCTGCGTTGACACTGCTACAGTATATCGACATGTAAAAACACAACACTTGCTAGGATTGTTGAATGCATTAACAATTCTCACATCCCATCCGAAAATTCCCTCAAGTTAAAAATGTCAATGTTANACCACAAGGTAAGCAAGGATCAAATACAACACTAACAAAAAATATTAAAAAAAATAAATATATAATAATATATAAAAACCTAATGTAATACAATATCTTTGCAGCCATACAACATCAAGCTGACATCTCCCATCTTCGGGATGAATCAACAAGAAGGAGCCTAACATTTTATATGAAATGTTTTAAATTTTTGAATATTTTAACATTGACATTTTTAACTTGAGGGAATTTTCGGTTGGGATGTGAGAATTGTTAATGCATTCAACAATCCTAGCAAGTGTTGTGTTTTTACATGTCGATATACTGTAGCAGTGTCAACGCAGCAAACATAACTGTGTACATTTTAACAACGACAGTGTTTTCATGATTGTACTATGTGCCTCTGATGATGGTTATATTAAACCGAAACATGTAAGGCAGAAGTGATAAAGAAGTGACCTACAAATTGTTACACTGGACGGACTTTCTATTAACTTTACCTCACTGTTTTGATCTTTTAGGGCGTAGTGGTCAGCAAACCACCCCAGCTACAATAATGAAAATATCTGAATTTTGCCCCCCAGAATATATTTATAGTTTTCGAATGATCCTCATTACAGTCATGGAGTGGCCTTTGTGATGGAGGCTCAGTGAGATTTCTGTGACAGAGAAACTCAATTTTTGAACACGAAGTAGATTCATTTTACACTTCGGCGAGGAAACAAGGAAAAGATGAAAAGACACATAATATCAGGCGATGAAAGAAAGTAAGAGGAGGGGTTATAGCTAAAGGAAATAGCGAAGCAGTGACATAGAACTGAACTGACAGACTATGAGGCATGAAGGCATTTCTTTCTTCGTGACAACGGCCATGAGCTCCTGGATCCCACAGGAGCAGGACGTTTCTTGAAGAGCTTTCTAAATATCCACTGATCAAGGAATCTTGAGCCATCGACTGGGGCTAAACCTGCGTTACTTTGTATATTAAGATAATGTCAGTACAGAAATAAATATAGCCTCAAAGGCTGTACCAATAAAGAATGAATAGTTCAGTTCATTTTCCATTATTTACGTGCTGAACCGGCAGCTGCTGCATTCGGTTCGTCTGAATTCAGGTCAGTTCTTATTTATTTACGGGCTCAATTAACAGCTCAAGGGCAAGTTACAAAGTGAGCACGAGTAAGGAAACGCACAAACAAAATACATAAACAAGACAACTTACATAACTTGAATAATAATAATAACCTTAACAAATCCCAGGTTAGACCTGAACTGAGAAAAAGAAATTTATACTTTTAAAATGAATAAAATAGAAAAAGCTAAAGCTATCATTGTATCAAGCCGTGGTCGCCCATAGGATTGCGGGGCGTCCAGGTTCTCATATTTTCTCTAGAGAGTTGGCTCACAAATGGCGGTGAGGTTGTCAGCCTTGCGCGTCGGCCGCCCTTTACCCCTATGAAGATTCCCGGTACTCATTTCTGTTAGAAGCTGAGTCGACTCCAGGGTCATAGTGCGGCTGGAAGGATTAGGTCAATTGAAAAATCTAATAACCTCATCGGGAGTCGAACCCGTGATCTTCCGACTTGTAGCATAGTCCCTCAACCAACTACGCTACCGAGTGCTCCAAAATTAATAAGATTGTTACTTTAATGATTGGAAGAACTATGGCTAACAGATAATATGACAGCAACAAATAATTCATGTTTTAAATATATGAATATATACACGTAATAATATAATTCTTTATAATAGTTATTATTATCATTATTATTAAACGAAAATGGATCGCCTGAAATGAGAAATTTCTAACGGAGTAACTAAGGAGTACGTAATGCAGGCAGATCAACAAGAAGTTTGCGCTTGGGCATTTGGCCAAATATTCACCAGCGTCTGTGAATTTCGAAGGTTCATCGCCTCCTTCATAAAAGCCCACTGCCAGAACTATCCTGAACCAAACAAACTAATCTCACTCGTGTACCCTTCCTCCTCCCAAAGGAACGCATTCCTCGAGGTAAAGGAAAGTCCCCCTTGCTTAGACTCAATTAAGCATCAGGCCTTGAATTTTATGGGGACGAACAGCGTTAGCTCGAGGCATTCTTAACATCTGCATTAGATAGATGTGATTCCATTCAGAACCGTGAAAATAGTTCCCGGTACACTTGGGAGAAAGTGCTGGATAAGTTTCAGGTCTTGGGCTGTGACGCATTTCCTGTCCCTGATGAAAGTTCCTTGGTCGTCCGGCCCACAGACATGTCTCCAACGGGACTCAGCTATCCTGGCCCCCATTCCGACCCAAATGTGATACTGTCCCCATCTCACCTTCCTCCCCGTGTGACTCTAGCAACCCCATTCTTCAGTTGCTCCCTCCTGTTCTCTTCTGAACACCCATAAGTATGTCTTTCCCGTTAAGTGATGATACAAAACAAGAGGTAAGATTTGCATTGCAAGAGAGCGCATAGTGCCCAACGTGATCAGCCTGGTTCGTGTCGGTTGCTGGGCGGACATGAACTTCCCAGACAATATGCCGCTTCCAGCTTCAGGGCCGACTTGGTTCATCAGGGAGTTGAAAGAGCGGTGGTCATGACACCCAAGGAAAGGGGGCAAAAAGAAGGAATCCAGGGAATATTTCTGGCTACGTCTTCGCATTGGCTAGGACCGCGTTCCTTTCATTCACCCCTTCTCCTTGGAACTCATGACCCCCCCCCCTTGTAAGGTCCCAACATGGTCTAGCAAATTCAAACAGCAAAATTTCTTATGAGTGACAACAGTTCCTGGATTAAGTGCGAATCTGCAGACGATCAAAAAAGGGTCAGATGCCTTGATATATTGTGACGCATCGACCCACTGCTTGGCAACGGCTCAGTATACACTCTTCAGCGAACACGCAAGAATGGATGTTATGTTCTCTGTGGACCATTATGCAGCTCGTTGCTGGGTAACACAACAATTCTGACAAGAGAAGAGGTGTTCTCTATATGGTCCGTGAAGCTAGATATAATTACAGAATTAGCATTGGAGAACTGGGACCCCCGTGTGGAGGCGGGGTCGAATACCTCCACCGTGACCCTGCCAGTCGTAGGAGTCGACGAAAAGGAAAGTCCCAAATCTGAGACAGTAAAATATTGTCGCGAGTCCCAACGGACTCAGACAAGAGAATGACTTCACTGGCAAGGACCAGCAGCATATACCAAAGACAGACCCGTCGTCTCGTCAGAGAGGTCGCCCCACAAAAACAAGACCGTAAATGCCAAAGAGTAATAAATATCTGGTCATGAGCCCCAGATGAGGCTGGGCACCAAGACTTACTGACTGACTGGACGTCAGTCGCAATGTGACTCAGTTCGAGGTGATTGAACAAGAAATGGCAAGCAGATTTCATAGTGACTTGAAGTGATAGTTCCTCTTATGAATCTGTCGCCAGGAGACGGAGAGCTTGTGACGTGGGCAGATTAGCGGCAGCGCTATAATTGCTTGTGAATAAGAGAGAGTGTAATCGAAGTGCAAAGTCCAGTCATCCAAATCAGAACCCGTTACTATCCGTCACGAAACCCCGAATACTTGCCGATATGAATGGGCATAGCCCAATACAAATCCTCAGACAGACGGACATAACCAAGCAAATTTCTGAATATAAATACCTCAGCCCAGAAAATAGAGATAACATCTTTTCCTGAAATGTATGTCCTCCCACGAAACTACACAAAGCCCACAAGTCCAGTCTCTCAACACTTATGCGAACTTACGGTGAGGAACTGAAGAATGTAAGATGTAGACACAACCGGCGTGGAAATGGGCTTGCACGTCGGCGATCAAGTTGGCAGTGACTTGCGGATGGAAGTCAGCAGTAGCGACGGTCGGGACGCAGCAGCAAGCAGGGAGCAGGAACATCATGGCGATCACACCCTTCATTCTGCACGACTGAACTCACCAGAAACAGAAGCCAGGCAACCTGCTGCCAGGCCATTAGGCCTGACACGCCGGTAAAATGACAGGAGGTTAATATGTTTTCTTTTAACTTCGCTACAACGGTAATTGCATACTGTCAGCCCGATGATCGAATTCATCCCTAATAATACGAATGTAAATATTTATTTGATGTATAAGGTGTTAGAAAAATCATTTACCATTAGCGTCGTGAAGACCAATCATTTCCAAAGAGCATTCCCCAGAACCTTCACGAGATTTTCTTAGGATTCTTTTGTGCTGTTGCTCCTTCACTTCCGTCTGCAATAAATTAGGCCCTTTCTTCCATTCCGACTTACATTTCATGCTAAAACTACGAATAATGAAGCATTTCTAAATCATTGAGTTTTTGGACTTTGTTCATCATCCGGTATTCTAAACACAGCGTTTCGAAAACTGGATCTGTTTCCATCCTCAGGTGAGGGAGACCCCTATTGTGTAGGGTCAAGTCCAAAAAACAAGTAATTCCGAATGTTATTCACCACTGTCCAACCCTGAAATATTTGTTTCGGCTCGTCAGACCCATGAACTCAGAACACGCATACCTCTATGCTTCGAGTGATATTGGAAACTGCGAACCAGGTACTCATAAGGTATTTTTAGCTGTTTCCAGATAAATCCGTGGGACGGCGGACCTCAATGTAATTTCTGAAGGGCACTTTCCGATTACGATTATAAGGTATAAAGCAGATGCTGTCTCCAGCTAAATTCTTGGGCTTGTGTCCCTGGTCCAAAATTGTCAGAGGCGACAATCCTATAGGAAACCTATCAAATTCTTTACACAGAGGAACTTCAGAACGAGCGAATGCTACTCCACAGCAATATTCTCGGATAGCGCAACCACTCGACACGATACTTTCAGTAGTCTGCGCTCCCTCATTGAGCGGAAATACCAAATTAGAAATAACTCCTAAGCATACTTTTGCATTAGGGACATAACACTGCAAAGGAATTATAAGAATAAGAATATACACAAGATCGCACCTGTCAATACAACTGTACGCACAACTCAACACTGAAATCCACAACCACATTGTTCCCGCCAAGAATGGCACACACCGACGGCCATCTTCATGTTTATCTACATTCTATCATACACATATACGTGATTTCTTAATTTTAATAATTTTGTAACTTTGCAAATATATTTTCGTTTATTCAACCCCTAATCATGTACACAAATTGTAATTTACGGCGTTGAAAAAATTGATTTATTTTCATAACATAATTCAGCATAAACGTAACATGTAGTGTGAGTAATATAGTAAACTGACTGAATTATTGTTTTCACGTTTTCTGACTCTTTTCAGTAAGCAATAATCAAACGTTGTCATCTGATCGCACAAAATATGCAAAAGGACTCTAAATACAAGACAGCCAAGCAATACGGAACATGCCTACACAGAAAAGTTAATTTCGTGCTCCTACTACAAGTACGTGAAGGAAACAACAGCGGAAAGCTTGGTATGTATGAAAGTTTCTTCAAGTCATTAGCTTCTGTTCACCTTCGCTAGTCTCCCTCTGTTCATGTGCCTCTCATTCAGTTTCTTCACAATTTCCATTTTCTTTGTCCTCAGATTCAGGTTTACACTCTCATGTCTAAGCCTTCCTTCTATTCGTGTCCATTTCATCACACACACTTTCATTTCTAAACTCTTTGGCGAAAATATTTGGAGAGGCTCGTTGATATAATCTTTATCAACTAGCAGAGAGGATCTTACCATCCTCGTGACATCAAAGTATGGCCCCCTTCGGAATACATCTCTTTCGAATGCTCGTTTGAAACGAGCAGTCACATTTTAGTGCAGTTACTAGTTCATGCCTCTGGGTATGACTGCGAGGTCCAGTGTCACGTGATCTGCAGAATGAGCAGGAGGCCTTCTCGGTGTTGTTTCCGACCTTTTGTGGGGAGGCAGCCGACCACAGTAATTTGAACCGTAACTGTTTGAATAAGTATGCGTTCAGTGTTTGTTGCTTTCTACTGTACTTTCATCATTCACGCTTAAAATAGAGTTTGCTTCCGTTTTTCTTGAGAACTTGAATTGGAGTTGTCTGCACTCGTTCAAGAATTACACCAGTCTTTACGGCGATAAACTGTTGACGATTGTCCATTCTGAAGCTCTACTCCGTAATGTTTTTTGCAGTCAAGCGTCATGACGCTACAAAAATTCAGATTGCTTTTGTTCCCAACGGTTGTCTTCCAATTGGTAATATTGATAATTTGATGTGGTCCTTAATTGTTACTATCAAGTCATAAATATCTCTGGTTTCCTACAGTAAAGGCTCTGTCGCTTTGACGCGAAACCAAATTTCCAAACTTAGCGAGCAACACATGTTACCACTACTCATTAACTTTTAAATTAGACTGAGCGGCTCTGCTGATCAAAAAGAATATTAATTATTCTTAAATTAAATAAAATTATAATTAATAAAAATAAATTTGATACATCCTTAGCACAAACATTCCTGTTTATCCTTTGCTTCATTAATTATGCGCTACGTCACGAAGAAACATGGGATAGTGGAGGTATAGCTCCACAGTTCTTGACCTCGGCACTAAATGGAGGTGAGTGATAAGTCTCACGCTCCAGTCACTAGACCCACTGTACCCATTGAATAGGTGACTGGGTGGAACCCAGAACCAGTCTGGATACTCTGGAGTGGTGAAAAATATATTTACCCTGCCGGGAATCGAACTGCGACTGTCCAGCTGTAGTCCGTCGCTACACTGACAGAACTATCCAGGGCCTACATGCACTTCATTGTATGTTCACTTCAAAAACAGCGTAAATATTTAATTGCTTCATGTGCCCACCAGAATCTTGTACAATACTTCCTTCCTACATCGGGATTGCTCAGTTGGTACACCGACGGACTACGGGCTGGAAGACTGGGTTCAATTCCCGGCAGGAGCATAATTTATCTCTTCTCTATAGCGTCCAACCCGACACTGGGACTTACTCAGCCTCCTATGCAATGGGAAGTGTGGGTGATTTCCCACGGGTAAAGTGGCGGGAGCGTTAAGCTGAACGCTCTCATTAATCTAGTGTCGAGGCCCAGAATTGTGAAGCTATACCCACACTTCCACAGAAATCTTCGTTTGGCTATTAATTAATTAAATACAGAAAATCTTAAAAATGCAGTTCTTTTCTAACAGAGATCTAGGCTTATTTTAGCACTGCCCCATTCTACTTTCATTATTTCTTCCACATGGGTGTACAAAGAGACAAACCAGTAATTAATCTGTTACGTTAAAATCCAAAAATATCGGTAGTAATTTCTTGTACGCATTTAGTTAACCCGCAAGGAAACTGTCATATTTTTACAAGCCATCAGCACAACATTAACAGATGGCATATTAGTGATAACAGTCTAACTGTTCCATTT